TTCCATGGTTTTCGCTCACAGCAGCACCAATAAAATTCACCCTATTAAGATGCAAGCCTTAACACAACACAATACTTTTTTGTCAAGATACAAAGTTGACTGGATTTGCGGTTACAGGTATTCTGTTGGGTCTATCGGCACGAAGGACGCAAGCTGAAACAGGAACTGAGATGCCACGCTGTGCTGTGTTCCAAGGAGTCAACAGCCCGAAGGATGGTCACCCAGCTCAACTCTCGATTGGCTCAAGCCCTCACGGAGTTCAAGCGGGACAAGATAAGTCGTCAGAACGCAAGACTGTCATTGGCCAACTCGGTGTATGACAACCCGTCCTTGCCTCGCAGGAAGATCCTTTTGTCCACTGGGTCCCATAACTACCGACCACCGTTGGAGAGGTCAAAGTCTGCACCCAAACTGATGTCCATTGAGGAGAGCCTGGAGGAGGAAGATGAGTGCAGCGATACCAGGAGGTATGTATCAGCTTTGAATTTTGATAGATGTTGATATCCCATTCCAAGTTCAAAATGTTGCCAGTTTAAGAATGAAAATGAATATTGAGTCACTGTTTCATTTAACAATCATATTGTTTTATGTTGATTAGCCAACTTCTTTTTAAGCCAAACTTTGACAACTTAATTATGTGAATGTGACATAAATTATCAAAGTATCCAAAAAATAACGAAGAAAATTGAATTTTGACAGTAGCAGACTCTGTAACAGGCTTATTTAACCATGTTCTAATTTGATAAAATATAAATAGCTTCTGCTGATCCATATAGATGTTGTGTGTAATTTGTTCTCCGAAAGTTAATGGTTAATGGTTTTGTACAGAGACCTTTTAGACTGTTCATCATATATTGGACCTTTTCTCATTTGGAAATTTCTGGACTAGTCCCTTGACTGAACTATAAAGGCTTAACTCTAATGCAACATCCCTTTCTCACACTTCTGTTAAATATTTTAGTCAAACTCAATGGAAATGTTATACCATAATTTGATGTATTGCCATCCATAAAATTGTATGTTACCGTTAGCTATGGAATAAAGAAGGAAAAAAAATACAATTTCCTTCAAGTCTTATTTATAAAAAGATCTAATAGATCTAAGTCTTAGACTATCATGTTTGATTAAATAGTTCTTATTCCAAAAAATAAAAAAATAAAATCGGATAACATTTTATATGTTGAAAAATGTGAAGACCTGTAATTTCTCAGTCTAATTCTACACATGGTTGTTATTCATTCAAGAGGTTTAAAACCAAAGTTTTTAAATTAGAAGCTAATCGTAATCATAATTTTTCAGATCAGTAAGAAGAACGAGGCCATCTTGTCCAAAAGAAGATGCTTTCAAAAAGGCTAGAAGGATGAGCTGTGGAGGCCTCAGCGAGAGACTGATGAAGATCGACACCAACGCCTTGAGGAGTTTTGGCGAGAATAAAATCACCAACTCAAGTAGCGAAATGAACCTGTTAAATGAAACAATAGACGAGGAAGTCATCAAGAATGAAGAAATAGACGATAAGGTTGTTTTAATAAATCCAAGTGGAGGAGACGTTGTGAAGTTGGCAAGGGAGATGAAGAGGAGCATCAGTCTGCAAAGTCACGTGGAAGACGATGACACAACAACTGACGGAGAGTATGATGATGACATGGATACCAACAGCAAGATATCAGAAGAAGACTACCACGAGGAGGATACTTGCAGTATAAAAACATTAGGAGAGTGCGAAGTCTTATCAAGAGATGAAGAAGAGGAATGCGTCAGGTTACCTTCGGTCGAGGAAGAGTTAGTAGAAACCAGTTTACAAGATTCAATCGTTGAAAAAGTAGTTGATGGCTTTGAATTGGATTCTATTAGCTTAGAATCGAGAACCAACAGTTTAGTGAGGGATAGAAGAAAGATGTTTGAGAAACAGGTAGACAATTCGTCGTCGGATGATAAACTCAATGAAAAAGATTCTCCAGTATCTGGAATGCTGGTGCAAAACAGGAGAAAACTGTTTGAAAATGTGCTCAACCCTGATCTACAAGAAATCACTGGAAAAGTTTTTCAAGAAATTACAGAACAGACTGTTCTCGATTTGGATAGATTTAGTAGAACCAGGCTAGAAAAAGGATACGTGGACTTAGAGGAAGATTCTACGCCGAGCCTTCAAAGTATTTCTAGCGGTTCAGATACCTCTACGTCTCGAGTGCTTGACTTTAGAACGGTCGGAGTCAAATCAAACTATGATTTAGATTCCTTGTCAGAAGAAGACAGTGACGAGAGTGGCTACGTCGAGTCCGTACCTCCTGAAGGTGACGACAAAGTCCGAGACCTTCCTCATCATCAGTTGATGAAGAGCTGTATTCTCACACCAAAAACAACCCAGTGCGTACAAGTATAGCAGTTACAGAAACCTTGTAAATAGGCGTATTATCTATCTTTTAGTTTTCTCGAAGAAGAAGTGATACAGTAAAATTTAATTTTCTTCAAAATATAATCTAAAGTGATATACAGATCAAGTAAGTACTTCACTACTTGTAAATTAAATGAAATCATTGATTACTCGCACTATTGTAGATTTGTATAGGATATTGAATACATCACATTCCTGAGATTACTATAAGTATTATTGAAAGATTTATTTCAACTGTTGAATTTAGATTTACCTTACTTAAATCTCAAGTTCTTCATGGTTTATCCATAAATCAATGCTGCAACTGAGTGTCCTTGATATTTGTATATTGTCTTTTATTATTTAGTCATGAATGTAGCAATATAGTACAATACTTTGCAAGTATGTACGCATTATGTTTATTCTAGTCACTTAACATAGAATCATATTATATTAATGTTTTATATTACTTCTATTTGGTTTGCAGTTTCCCATTCTTATGCAATTAATGAAATATTATGTTACCACATATTTTAATTACTCTTGAAAAAAAAACAGTTTTCATAAATTATGGAAACAATCGTATCAGCAATTATAAGATAAACTCTATTCAAAATATTTTCTACGTTTCAAAACAAGGATTGTTAAAAAACATCTCTTCTATTAAGTGATGAGTCAATGGATACAGTGTATGATGAGTACAAAGACTTTCCATAATGTATTGTTAGATTTTACGTGATGAGACTGATTGTTCTAAATAAGTGCATTCTTTCACAACAGTACTGGTCTTTATCGAATGAAGACATGCCTGATGAGAATTTATATTTAGTTATTAAAGATAATTATTTGAAAGTCACAATAACAATGTTTGTGGATCTGAGTAAATCATAGACAAAAAGAATTAAATACAGACCCTCAGCTGTGCTGCGGTTACCATAGGTTCTGGCTCACACCGCTGGGAGCGCCATGTAGTTACGGCGTACGCGCTACGCAACTACACAGCTTCCAGTGGTGTGCGCCAGAACCTATGGTAACCATAGCACGGCTGTCAGTCTATATTTAATTGTTTTTGTCTATGGTAAAATATAATAATAAAATGTATATCCCAGCACTTGTACTCCTTGTCCGTAAGCCAAGTGTTCACAGTACAACAACCCTAGCAATACGTTGTTACTGTTAGAGAGGGAAGACACTGAATGTATAAAAACCTGATAAATTTTGTACATGAGTTAGATTCACATTCTAATTCTGTTGAAAATATTAATGTTTATTATTATTGTGAATTATTGTAAATAAAATAAATGTATATTAAATTTGTTCAACCCGTAAAATGTTCTCTTTGAATATACCTGTTAAAGGATCTCAATTATTCTGTTATACTAAAGAAAAGTTATTCTTATAAAGAATCATTTGAATTTTCAAGAAATTTGGTTTTCTGTGTGTGAAGTAAAAGAAAGTTAAGTCTCAGAACAAACTTTTTTGATATGTTAGGTTAATTCAGGTTTTCTTTACTTTTAGAAACCTTAAAGATGTTCATTTTACGTCAATGGCAATAAAGGAGTCGTGTCCATGCTTCTATGGAGCTAATTGTAACAAAATTCAACATTAAATAGTTATTTGTGAAACTAGTGAGCAAAGGCCTTTTGCACTCGTGTTGCACATTATATTTTTCTTACAGTCACTATAAAGCATATAAATAATTGGTCTTTCAAACACTATACAACACATTTTTAGGTTCAGCTCAGCTGAAAATGTGTTGTATAGTGTCAGCTGGCAACACAAATAGGTGCCCTAGAGAAAGTAGTCCCCGGTCCGTATCACTCCGCTATTTTTTCCTCGGCAAGCAATGTGCTCCGCGACCTGAGAAATTAGTTCCGTATATTTTTGTAATTTGCAGTGGTCTCCGTGCCTAAAAAAATGCTTTAAAGGTATTTTCTTGTTTATTAAGATCGTAGGAATGTTTTAAAAACGTTTTGTGCAACTAGTGAGCAAAGGGAGCAATTGACTCATTCGAGGGAAATACTTACCTAACCTAACCTAACCTAGGAATGGTTTCTCGATTGAGGCAATTGCACTTTGCACTCGAGTTGCACATTATATTTTTCCTATACCATAAAACAAATAAATTGGTAAAGAAACGTGACATATTTTTAAACAGAAGTGAACTTTTAATATTAATATTACATTTAATGATACAACAGTACAACAGCTGAATACAGCCAGTGCTACCAACGTATTTCGTGCGCATACAACCTTGTCTGCATGTTACGCGCTCACTATTTCATGCCTTCACGTTGCAAATCTGGAGTGAGACAAAGTAATTAGAGTTAGACAATGTTAACATTGTCTCACTGATGAGCGAATTGGCCACTTTGCTTTCTCAAATCAGTGAGAGAACATGTACATTGTTAGGTAACTGTAGGAAAAGTATAATTATGCAACAATAAGCAGCTTTCTGTACTATAAACAGTAAGAGGAAGCCAACTTTGTCAGGTGACTTTAGGAAAACGATAAATCTCACACTCTTTCAAATTAGTAAGGGCGAAGGGCAAAGAGGTAAATGAAACAGTAGTAACAAAATAACAAAGATAACATGATCGTGTGTACCATTATTTATATTTGAAATAAAACCTTGTACAAAAGTTTGTTATTTGAATAATGGATACAAACAGCAAATAATGGATAGATCAGTTCTTCAAGTAGGTATATACCATTAAAAATAAAACTATTTACATTTCATAATTACTCAAAATAATGCATAAAATACAATGTGGCTGGTTTTATAAAGTATTAGTAATTCTCAACAATACGCAAGTTACAGTTGCTTAAAACAATCAAACAATATGGAAGGTTGTAAATGTAGTCAATAAAATGCAATAAATCAATTAAATTTAGATTTTACCATGCATATACAATGCACGCAGGTCATTAACCAAAAAACAAAAAAAAAACACTTATTGAATGCTGAATTCCAACCACTTATAAATAAATAGTAAAAAAGGTTAAATACAATTTCAAACATAGTATATACAATTTTATTTAGTGAATTTTACTTGAATACTTAGGTAAACATACAACTTGCATACATCTTACCTGCCACCCAGATAATCACAGAGAAGTAAGCTACAGAAGAGACATAATGTCAGTGTCCTACTCTATTCTCCTAACCCCTCCGCCATCATGTTTTGTACTAAACCGCTCATGGTGGAGGAAGACCCTGTGCTCTGTGAGGTAGGAAAGTCCACACAGCGCTTGCCGCTTGCACTAGAGGTGGGCGTTATTTAACATAATACGGGAGCACCACCTATCCAAATATATTACTGAAGGATATCGTATTATTTTAGTATTGTCATCTGAACTGTTTAACCAAGCAAACGATCATGTCTTCCATTAACAGAGAACATAAATTAAATAGTACTTTGGTAATAAATTTTTGAGGATAGGCCTATAATTACTTTTTTATTTAGTTTGAACTATTGGACCAAGCAAGTGAAATAAGGTTGGTCATATATCTTCCTATTAATGGCGAGCATTGCAAAATAATATAGTAGCCTACCTTGATAATACAGTTAGTTTTTTACCTACGGCCGTTTTTAAGTAGGCTTAGCCGTTTCAGTTCAGATCCTAGAATTAAAAAGTTTCATATAACAGCATTGTTTACTTACATAACAGCATAGTTTTACTTAACAACATGGGTAACAGACCAATGAGGATTAAGGATTGAGAGAGAAGTAAATTGTAATGCTTCAAACTTAATCAGCTGTTTACCAATTTAATTGTTAACGATAGGTGCAATTAGTAATTGGTAGGCCTACAATGAGTCGTTGCATCAATGTCAATGGCAATGAGAGGTTATAAACGAAAACATAACCTCTCCTGGAAGTGTTGAATAGTGATTATTAGTAATTAAAAACTGGTCGTAACTAAAGTAGTGTACCCAACTAGCGTAAATAGTGTTAACAACCTTTGTAGAAGTTTTTAAGGCACCCCACTTTTTTAAGGCTCGTAGTGTCGTACCTGAAATTTTCTACTTGTGTCGTTAACACTATCTTTACATGATTGTAGCATAAACCACTATTACATTGTCAGAGAACTGCTAAAACGAGCGAGTGAAAAAATTAACCTATTACCAAAAAGGGGGGTATTTCCACAGAGAACCTATTACCTAACACACATAACCTATCAACTAAGCCTACTATCACATAAAAATGTGTAGTTTAATAAAAATATCAATGAAAATAGTTAAATTGATATGAAATAGTGAATTTAAATACAGTAGGTTTTCTTTTATGGGTCTATATTTTGGTAGAGTAACAACGGATCATTTTTACAGCGATTTGCTGTTGGTTTGGATAGGTTCGTTTCGTTTAGTTTATCAAACTAGTGAAAAAAGAGGATGGTACCAATGCAAATTGACGTCTTTATAAATTTATCTCTTTAACAAAATATTGCACATTAAATATAAACTTTTGTTTTATAATTGTTGCCTTCATACGCTAAGCCAAACTGAACTAAACTCACCAAACCGCCACAGCACAGTGTGTAGAAACTAAAACGTCTTGAAAAATATACAATCGGTAATCAAATTGCATGAAAACTATATCCAATACAATATAGGCCTAACTATTGAACTAATAGTAATATATCATCCAATTTTATATCTCAGGTTCTCTGCGAAACTGTACCCCTGAAGAGCTAAGGAGACTTCCTGACTATTGTTGCAAAGTAACAGTAATTCCCTTTGCTCACAACAAGTATATTGTCCTGTGAGCTATAAGCACAGGGTCATCTTATAAGAATCCTCTGTACCTTACTTCTCTGTGACACCATGTATAAATAGTTGAAGGTAACACAAAACTGAGAGTGGTGATGCTGCAGACTAGTCGTCCGGTATTCCTGTATGGATGAACATGTGGGTACTAAACTCAATGACACTTGCTGTGGCAAAGTCACATTCACCACACATGTATTGTTCCTCGTCTGAGTTGACACCTCCCTTACTAACTTTGGTATTCTTAGTTAATTTAGAATGTTTTCTTAGAGTCGCTTCTTCTTTGCTGTCCAGTTCCTCTTTCTTCTTACTAGTGAATTGTGTGTGAACTAATTTGTGCCTCGATAGGCCCCCTTGGTTCGTAGAGCGCATTTTACAAATATCACAACCAAAAGGCTTGTCCCAAAATACATCGTGCCCATTTTTCAAATGCTGACGTTGAGCAGCCACTGGGAATGTTTCAATATTACACTGTAAGCATTTAACAATCACTTTCGGGAAATACTTTCTCAATCCAGCTGAGTTTTGTTTTAGAAAGTTGCCACTATTGCTTAGAGGGGTACATGAGGTTTTGATGTGTTCTTGAGCTTCTTTCGTTATTGCGTGTTTCCATTTCAGGTGGTGTTCATAAGATTTCTTAGTTTTAAAACGACAAGCACAAATCTTGCAAGGAAATGGTTTTTGCCAAAATCCTGAGTGGCCGAATTTCAGATGTTGCTTCTGGGCAGGATGGGATAGTTTTTTTAGGTCGCAGGATTTGCACTTTATAGGTAAATTTGATGTTGATTGTTCAGATTTACTCTTTTTTGGTTTAAGCATGATTACTTCTGCGTCTAAAGCTCCAATCTGCTCTGACTGCACAGGGCCATCTGTAGCACTTACACTTTGATTTGAAACATGCAAAACTTTATTATTATTCCCTGTTGGTCTTGCGTTGCTTTCCTGTTTTGGTTTTTGTGAAGTTTTTGGACGGTTTGTCTTAACTGTAACTGACGGTTTCACCAAAATCCTTCGGATTGTATTATTTCTGACCCCTCCTTGTCTACGGTGTACCTTTAAAATGTGAAAGGCAACACTTCTGCGACATTTACTTTTAAAGTCTCCACAAAGAGTACAACAATACAATGGAATGAGACCATTCACACCAACTTGTATAGATCTCTCAACCGGACGGTTCTTGGCTGTTTTTGTAGCCAAATATTTGGATTTTAATCCTTTCAAAGTTAAACTGGGCTTTGAAACTTTGCTATTTGATTCTTCATTGTTTTTGGAAGAACCAGAATCATTGGTGAAGTGCACTGCCATGTGCCCCCTCAAACTGTCTATTTCGTTGGTTTTGAAAGAGCAAAAACAGCAAGAGTGAACAATTTCTGAATTATTTGTAAATGTGGAATCATCAGTTTTTGAGAGATTCATTTCGGTTTCTGAAGTACGGTGATTCATGAGATTCTGAACGTCATCATTCAAGTGTGAAGGATATTCATTTTTTTCATTTGTATGTATGTTCTCAAGGTGGTTTTTTAACCTATGAAACTCCTTAGTTTTGTAGTCACACAGTGGACAGCATTTAAAAGTGTGACTTCTCATGTGCTTTGCGAATATTAGACGCTTTTTACTTGAAAACTTGCATTCATTGCACAAATAAATAACAGCACAAGCAGCATGATTCTGCATATGTTTCAGATAATGTATTAAATATCTGAACTCAGTCTTGCACACATTACATGTAAACTTTCGTCTTGGATGACTACTTCTTAAATGTTGGACAAAATCAGTAGACTGTGCACATTTGAAATTGCATTTGTGACACCTGAACTCTTCAGTCCTGATACTTGTATCACTCTCTCTTTGCGCCAGTTGATGATGATCATGCATGTTCTTGACAGGTTCCTTCAAAGCTGCAGTGTCTTCCCAGGTCAGGTCTGTGTTCACGTCGGACTTCAATTTACCACAAGACTGGTCAACACCACTATCCACACTGATCCTAAAGCTTCTCTCAACCTTTTTTCTTTCAACGCTGTTTACTTCCTCCTGCTCTATACCTGATTTGTCATACTTTTGATTATCATTGGAATGATTTCTGTCTCTATAATGTCTCTGTACATGCCTTTTAAAGACTAATTTAAAATGAGTGATAAAAGAACATTCATTACAGGAATATTTAGCTCTGGAAAAATTGTGGCGGTGACCTTTGGATATGTGCAATTCAAAGGCACTAAAATCTTCTGAATTGACTTTACAGGCAAAGCAATACAGGTCGTCTTTGACATGCTTGACCATGTGTCTTCCAAGATTAGAAGGGGAATAAGAGGTAAGTGGACAAGAACTACACTTAAGTAATGACTTTCCATGAGTTTTCCTCATATGCTCACAATAATCTAAATAAGAAAATGACACAAACAAATTATTGCAGCAACTGAAAGGCTTGTGCTGAAGATGATACTTCTTATGTATCTGAAGATTTTTTAAATGTATAAATGTATAATCACAACCATTACAACAATATTTCCCATCTTTCTGTATGATCTGTTCTTCAAACTTCTTTATAGCAGTCTTAGTTTCTATGGTATCACTTGAATTTGTACTAGAATGTGTTTCATGAAGTACAATTCTGGCATCACAAGGAATAGTAGCCTGGTTCGTCTCTTCTTCTTCTTCAGATGAGGTTAATGCAGATTTTTTGCTTCTTAAAGAATTTGCTACACTTTTATTTTCAACCTGTTTATTTTCTTTTGTTCCTCCATTTTTCATGCTGTTCCTTTTGTGGTGAAACTCTCTCCGGTGTTGTTCAATAGCTTCTGTATCTTCACAATTCATTCTACATGAAGGACAGTATAAATGATAATCATTATTATGCCTGGTAATATGTTCTTTGATATAATGAAGATCCTGTGAAGAATAGTCACATATATTGCATGAGAACACTTTCTCCAGATGTTTGTGGGCTGATACTGTGTGTTGACTTAGCTCATTCAGAGTAAGAAAGTTAAGTTGGCAAATATGACAAATAAACCCTTTTACTTCATGTAGATTTAGGTGATTACATAAATTTTCCCGGTTTTGGAATTTGAATAAACAAATCCCACACCTATAAAAACCATTAATTTTCTTACATGGTTGCAGGGAGAAATTTAAAGATTTGCTGTGCCGTTTGGTAGCGCAATAGTTCAAATGTTCTTCGTGAAACAAGGGATCTGTGCATTTATGGTTACATTTAAAACACGTGTAGATTTTCAGAACAATATGGTCTTTGTCCATGGTATCATCTTTTCTATCTTCTCCACCCTCTTGCAGGGAATCCAGTGATAGCTCCTTCTTTTGATTCTTTTGGAAACACTGAGGAAGAGGCAACCTCGGGCCAATGCTTACAATAGCTGGTCTAATAGAAGAAACTGAAAAAAAGAGATAAGTAATTATCAAACACTGAGAAATTGTTATATACATGTAAAAGGAATGTAATCACTGAACTTCAGTATGCAACCAAGATGATAATGGATGGAAGTGGGGTGTTATTAAGGAATTGTACGAGGCGTTTAAAAAAATTATTAAACCTAACTTTTACAAATTGTTTATTTGTGTCAAGTTTGTTATGAAAGACAAGGATATATTTATTTTTATTTTTTGTCCATCTACGTCAACGGAATCAATGTTTTATAAGATTTTAAAAAACATTCGCCTATTGGGTCTGATAATCATTGGAATGTCCAATCGAAATCGATCACCACTTACCATCTTTTATACATATTTACCGTCTTCTGAGTTAACAGTATATAAGCGTAAATATATGTGTTATTAGACGTTTCTTTTATTTACTTTCCGTTTTAAAAAGCAACGGATCTAAACCTGATCTTCTTACTACATGATGCCAATCTTTTGTTAGCTTAATTAATTAAGAGCTGGTCGTAGACCATTGTTTAATTAAGTGTATGCTTATGTTATGAGAGGAATGTTTATGTTAAAATAAAGCACTTTATTCATTCATTCATTCATAATTAAGAGCTGGATTATCACTATGTAAGGAGATTTAAAGCTCTTGTACCCCTTAGTAAGCTCATGGTACTGATGAAAAATATGAAAACATCATTAACTAAAATAATAAGCTAATGAAAAATGAAAAATACATCATTGTTCGTTATGGGAGAGCTACTATTTACTGAAATGTATTTTACATATTGTTGAACTTTTAATAGTTGTCTTATATTTTTCCATTGTAGATTGTACAAGATTTAGTGTTAGCTGTTTGTGTACAAAGAAGTAATTTCATGTGCGTCCCACTGTCAACTATAACAGTTTATTATTGGAGACTTTATAACATTTTTTGCTTGTGTGCCTTTGATAAAGAGGTCTACCCAATTGCCAGTTGACACATATGCAGAAGTATTTAAAAGTGATTCAATCAGCCCTACTTAAAAACCCCCTTTACAGAACAAATATTAAATACAAATATTATTTTATAGCATATACTGTATAGTTAATTTATATTAATTTGTTTTGAGAATTTTATAACTGACTTACTGGTACTTATAATGTGACAAATTATACATATAGCAAATACAATTTTATTTATATAAAAAATGACAAGTTAACTTTTAGGATTATAATAGCATTAGAAAAAAATTGTGTGGTATAATAAAGTAAAACCTCACCAAATCGAAAATTCTTACAACTCAAATTTAAAAATACAACTCGACATTCAACAGCACTATTGCACTATAGTGTTTGACTTTTCAAGTTTGAATTGTTGAATATTTACATTTCTTTAAAGATTGTTTACTTCATATATAAAAATGCTCATGTAAGTAATAAATTAATTTGTAATAAGTCTTTTATGTTTTCACTTATTAAAACTTAAACCCATTAAACATTTCAATGTTTGGTATAACTTGACAACCTCTGGGTCCACAAACTGTCAAGTTAGCAAGGTTTTAATGTAGCAAGTAATTTCTGATAACCTAGAAAATGAAAATCACACAGTACTAGGTTTAGCCCCCAACCATTGGTCGCTGGATGGATCGTCGTAAACAATAGCAGGTGCATTTCTGTTTGGGGTTTGGTTAACCATATTTCATCAGACTCCATCATTCTGATGTTTTGATATTAACATGATTGTGTCAAGTATAACTAAGGTCCTAATCAAACAAATAGTTATTTGTGTAACTAGTGGGCAAAGTAAGTTTCTCAAGTGCAGCAAAGGCAGTTTGCACTCGCGTTACACAATATATATTTTTCCTAAAGTTACTATAAAGCATATAAATAATTAGTCTTTCAAACACTGTATAACACGTTTTTAAGTTAGGTTAGATCCCCAAAGCAGAATGGTTCCTACGTGTCTGCAACGGCCTGTGAAAACCTCAAAATGTGTCCGCAAGCGCTAAAACTAAAAAGCTAAATAATGACTTATATACCGGTATATATATATATTCACTCTTTAGGGCTACTAGTAATATAGTTAAATAAAATAAGTAAATTTCTATAACTTGTATATCCTACTTTTAAAACAAAAAAACTAAAAAACTATTAAGGGGTAGGCATAATCAGGTTATTTAAATTTACTTTTTTTTAAATACGTATATATATACACATACCTTAACAAGTGTTAACAAGGTCTTCAGAAGTAAAACTTTAAATGTACTATAGTTTCTTTATATAAACACACTAGGGATGGACAAGATTGAAATTTTAGTTCGGGACGGGACGGGATTTTTATTTCCTTCCCGATTTTCGGGACGGGATGGGACAGGATTTTTTTTCTGTGCATCAAAAAAAGTACTGTATTGCAGTTACCAAAAAAGACATACGAAATCAATTTTTACCATTTGTGGCACTGATCTATAAAAACCAAAAAATGGGTAACAATTTACAGGTACCTATAGAAACTTGTGACTCGCGGGTCACGGGGTGATCGTCTGTAGAACTCACGGTCACGGCGCGATCGTCGTCATGACTCGCAGTCACGGCGCGATCGTCGGTATGACTCCGCGGTCACGGGGTTATCGTCGGTATGACTCCACGGTCACGGTGCGATCGTCGTCATGACTCGCGGTCACGGCGCGATCGTCGGTAGGACTCCGCGGTCACGGCGCGATCGTCGGTATGACTCGCGGTCACGGCGCGATCGTCGGTAGGACTCCGCGGTCACGTCGTGATCGTCGGTATGACTCGCCATCATGGCAAGACCGTCAGTATGACTCCGCGGTAACGGCGCGATCGTCGGTAGGACTCCGCGGTCACGGCGCGATCGTCGGTAGGACTCCGCGGTCACGGCGCGATCGTCGGTATGACTCGCGGTCACGGCGTGATCGTCGGTATGACTCGCGGTCACGGCAAAGATCGTCGGTATGACTCGTGGTCACAGCGTGATCGTCGGTAGGACTTCGCGGTCACAGCGTGATCGTCGGTAGGACTTCGCGGTCACGGCGCGATCGTCGTTATGACTCCGCGGTCACAGCCCGATCGTCGTTATGACTCGCAGTCACGGTGCGATCGTCGGTCCAATAATCGCGGCCACGGCGCGATCGTCGTTATGACTCCGTAAATGTGTCCGCAGGCCCGCGTTTCTCGGCGTTTCGTGTCCGCGACAATGTCGCAGCGTCGCTCGTTGTTCTGCTTTGGGGGGTTAGATCCCAACATTAAACAAAATGGGAAATGCTGCACCAGCTGATCGTAGTCGTAGTATCTTTAAGTGTTGCCAAACTATTTCCATACGTACACGGATTACGTTCTTAATAAAAGCACGCTGTTTTGTGTTGTTTAGTTGGAACTGGTGAGGATAAAGTAAAAACTGTGAGACAAAGTAAAAAGTGTGTGCCAATGTAAATGCAGCAATTGGCAGATTTCTGTACTATAATCAGTGTAAGAAGGCCCACTTTGTTGGGTGACTGTAGGAAAAAGTGATTTTTGAACAGTTTTAAACTAGAAAGATCCACTTCAATGTGTTTTTATTAAATACTGTAAAGTGTTGGCTAAGCATCATTTAATAATACTGTAATTAATAATTTTCAAACTATTTGACCAGTAGTGTTGAGCAATTAATAATTCTTAATCAATTAATTAATTAATTTCTTAATTCTTTATGGGGGTTGAATAATTCTTATTTTCAATACCTTTGAAAAAAGTTTGCATGAAAACTCACGAATTGATAATGATTTATTCACTAAAAATATATTGTTAAAGCTATTAATTTTTTATCAACTATTTATTGTTGAAACATATATTTTACAAGCATTTGACTTCCTAATATTCCTAGACTCCCTAAGACCCTTTACACGAGCGTGAAACGCTCGACAAAATTCCGCGACGGCGTCCCGTGCTCGACAGACACCATCGCGTTAAAATTGGTGTGTAGGCGGGAGCTCAGAGTTGACGTCGATGTCGGCGTCAATCCCGCCAGCCATTCTACTTGTAGCGGTATCACCGCGCGCGGCAGATCACTTGACATGATATTGTCCATTCGCGTTAAGTTGCTCCAACATAGTGCCATGTAATTTTCAATCATTAAATGTAGCATTAAATTAGTTTTTCATGATGTTATAAATTTTGTATTCCTTTAGTCAAAAGTATTTTTTTAACTGTAAAAATAATTGGTCAGCTTCAGCTAGTAACTTAAGTAATGTGTTTGACATAAAAGTACATTTAATTTAATTGACATGAATTACAACAGAAATTCATTTGTAATGCCAAACTAAATATATAAAAATCACAATATACCAGCAACAATATACCACAATAACTGTATATGTTCTATACAATTAAAATTGCAATTTTATAGATATAAGCGATAGAGATAAGCGATAAGATAGAGATAAGCGATAAGATAGAGATAAGCGATTTTGTATACACAGAAGTAAGCTATATTTCTAAATAGTGAGAAAAAAATAGAATAATTTGTTCCAAATCAATAGCTTGAGTTTGACAACCCCAGCAATAAAATCGAGCTCCACCGTGTCCATCCCACGTCTACGGGACGGGGATCCCGCCACGTGTAGTTTGCACAAAATTTTGGTGCGTTCACGCGGGAATCCCGTCGCGGTTTTCACGCTCGTGTAGAAAGGGCCTAACCTCAAAATCTATAAGAGACCTCTGTATTTGAGATTTTTGGTAACCGAGGTAGTCTCGGTCCCAATAACCTCGGTTAATTGAGAGTGTATGGACGCCTTCATTTTGATTGTTACCCAGCTCCATTTAGTTGGTGTAATGTAATATGTGTAACAAATAACGTGATATGATTGAAATAAACTTACAAATATCTTTTCCAGTGTCTTTTAAGAGATTTTTTTCAATTTGATCTTTCATATGAGGCTCTGTTGTTTGCCTAAACTTGGCACACTTAGGTCCAGGAAGTCTTGTCCAAAGTTGAGTTCTATTTGAAGGTGTTGTTTTTAAACTTTTATCTTCTTGGACAATGTTTTCAGTTTTATTTGGGTTTTTCATTTTTTCCACTTGTTGTCTGAACTTGGTACATTTAGGTCCAACTTTTGTTGAAAGTTGAGTTCTATTTGAATGTGTTGTTTTTAAACTTTTGTCTTCTTGGAAAATGTTTTCAATTTTATTTGGGTTTTCCATTTTTTCCACTTGTTGTCTGAACTTGGCACATTTAGGACCAACTTTTTTCCTAGGTTGAGTTCTATTTGAAGGTGTTGTTTTTAAACTTGTATCTTCTTGGACAATGTTTTGGGTTTCAATTTTTTCCACTTGTTGTCTGAACTTGGCACATTTTGGACCAAGCTTTACTCTTTGTTCCAATTTTTGTTTTAAATTTTTATTTTCCTGGACAACAGTTTTGTTTTCATTTAAATATTTAAGATCAATCTTAGCTCTACTTTCCAGCTTTGGTTCTGAATTTTTATTTTGAATAGTATGTTCATTTTTATTTTTGTTTTCCACTTCCTTCTCTTCTTTTCTGAACATTGCAGATTTAGGACCAATCTTCACTCTGTTTATCAATTTATCTATAGGTATTGAAACAGAATCGTGAGGATTTCTTTGAACCAGTATTTTACTATTCGGAGTATCGTTGCTAACACATTCTTTTTTAATTTGTTCTTCTGGGAGTATTTTTTGTCTCTCCCCACAACCATACTTTTCTACTGGAAGTCTTGCAGGAACCATTTCAGAAAGCTGAAAATACAAAATAAATATTATTGCTTGGTACGCTATTTTATTAGTTTTAGCTTATAATGATAAAATCAACTTGTAGGCCTAATTAAAATAACTCATTAAAGTAAAGTCACCAAAAAGAGTTGACATCAGCAACCTAACAAACTAGCAATAATAGAAAATTAATAGCAAGTGGAGTTTTCCAGTGATTTGTGGAGGTGCCCGTCTCTTTCACATGAATGGTATCAGATATATCTCAGTGGTTATATAGGATAACTACAGCACCCACCTTTAAAAATTAAAGAGGTTTAGGGATTTTCAGGGACTCGACCTAGCATTAAATAAGCTAATTACGTGTTAAATAAAACCACATACAATTTATAATACCTTGGCAAATTGTCTGTAGTTAAAAGATTTGAAAGTAAAGTATGCTAATAGTATATTTCATGACGTAAAGTGACTCTGTTCGACCTGAGCTCAAGTTTTACGATCGTAGCATAGCTGAGGTCGGAAAAAATACATCACTTTTGCCCGTGTGATGAACTACAATTTTTGTCAATATAAAAACGCTACTTTAGACCTCATTGCTACCTTTAGCAATGCATGTATTAAAAAAGCGGCTATTTTTGCTGCAGTATGACAAAAAATAAATATCTTTGATATAATTTCAAGAAACACAGGTTTTCGCTGTAAAGAGACGTTGGTTTGTTACTAACTACTTTGTTACTGCACAGCAAAGTTTACAACAAATTGAAATTAGTTATCAGCACAACTCCGGTGACATTAGAATGCAGGCCGGGATTGTCAGAAGGTAGCCAGTTCCATCCTGAGAAAAGACAAGAGTTTTTTGATAACTTAAACTTGAACCAAACTGGTCTTAATCATTGGGCTTTTATTAAATTATTCCATCTTAACCCTCCGAGGGTCACGCGTCGAGTTTAAGACGCACAACACACTTTGTGTAGGGTCACGCGTCGAGTTTAAGACGCACAAACATCGTTTACGGCGAAGGCTCTATGACTGACTGAATCGGATTGAACTGGATCGAGTTAGGTATCGTTCTTTCCGTAATATTCTAAGCTTTCTCCAGAGGTCTGTCTCTAAGCGCTATTCATTTTAGTTCCGAAAATATTGTAGCAGACAGCTGACGTGCGTGTATTTGTAAACAGCTAGGTTCCCCCGGACCGATGACTGATGTGTTTTATTACGTTTATCATTGTTTTAGTGTTAAAAATCAAAAGTAGTGATATACGTGGTGCATTATAAGAAGATTTAAGTGGTTTTGAAGTGCTGGTTGATGATCCTGAAGAAGTAGGTAGTGATATTGATGTAAATTATCAGCCAGATTCCTAGCTATGGTTAGGCTATGCATTCTTAGCTAAACGCTATGTACTGAAATCCGTTTTTCGCTCATAACTTATTTATTTGATAACTTACCTCGCTATATGATTATATATTTGTAATCCTCATTAAATTTAGAACAAAGTGGCTATTTTCAAATATTTATAGGCCTATAATTTATACAATTTCATTGAGCGCGAACTTATTTTTTTTTTGAAAATTTTTGAAATTATATTTTTTTTTACCCAAACATTTTTTTTTGAAAAAATGTTCCTTATGTTTTATATATAATATTGAAGCCCATGATTTTCCAAACAAAATGGTATATAGAACATTAGAATTAACATTGTTTTAAGCTTCTCAGATCCGTTTTAATAAAACCTTGCAAAGGGGCCAAAAATAGGTGGACATTAAGGCCTAAACTATGGACACTCGGAGGGTTAAAGATGGTGCTGGTCTTAGTTAGTGACAAAGTTAAAAAAATGCATCTCACACTATCTTTAATTCATCTTTTGGTTCAAATTTGCTCAGTTGCATACCCATGTTAATTTCATTATGTTGACATTTTGGAAGGTTGAGTAGGCCAGACATTGATGCACTGTTATCATCCGTGGCTTGCTTCCTTATCTTTGTGGTTTCCTTGTTATTGGCCCAGTACGTTTGGTGGCATAATAAATCACCAAACACTACAACTATTTGTTTTATGGCTGTGGAAGATGCTACAATGATTTTTTTCCTAACCAAAAACTCAAAACTAAAAACTACAGTATGACAAAACAATACTTTTCCTAAGAGTCCTTTGGAGGCTAGCAGCCATCTTGGATGGTTTCAAACAGTTGCTGCAGAGTGATTTATTGCCAAAAAATATTTGTACAAACAGAAAAGTGATAATTAATAATTTAAAATTCAATATAATTTAAATATCTAGTAAATAGAAATATTCTTTGTAGTTTTCAATTGTTCTCCAAGGGAGACCATGGGCATTGGATGTATCAAATATTTGGTTTGGTCTCTCAAGATTTGTTATATCGGGGTTGGACTAACTATAACCACTTAATGCTGTTTGCTTGCTATACCTCTTGCAACGAAGGTTTAATATCAGCTTCTTCGTGTGGTTCAGTCTTTATATGTCCAGCTGATAGTAATGGGTCATTATAGGCCAATGAAATGACATTGGTTAAAGCCAAGCCATTAGGAGCTTCTATCTCATCTTCCATAGGCTCCTGAAAATATATTTTATGTTGAAATATAAAAAATAACTTACTGAATACAATCTTCAAGAAGAACTGGTAATATTGGAGTGAATATAAATTTGAAATAAAAACTTCACCAATATTTTCAAAATTTGTATTTTCATGAGGCCTTTCACCAGCTATGCTGGCAAAAGGCCTCATGATATAACAAATTTTGAAAATATTGGTGAAGTTTTTATTTCAAATTTGTATTAGGCCTCCTGAATACAGTTTTAAAACATGAAATATATTTTTACTGCTGAACTTGAAGAGTATAACCTCTTACACTCTTTGTCTCTAACACTCTTTGTCTTAACTTCCTAATGCAGTCAGATTATTTTAGCCAGCACTATTTTCTGACTAGAGCTAACTAAATGAAAAAATAATTTTTCATCTAACCTTTTCGTTAGGTACTCAAGATACGGCAATATCTTATAAACATATCCTAAGGAATATGGAAGCAAATTTGAAAAATAAAAATCATTCAACATGACATAGACACAGAAAAAAAACAATTAAGCTTAGTCATAAAACACTACTGAGAGGCAAAGCCATTAATAGACTTGAGAAAATAAATGTCGGATGGTAATTTTCTTTTCAATATTTTCCACAGAATATACCTGTTCTGAGTTGAGTGTGGAGCAGTCCACCCATTCTGGGACAGGAGCTAGGGGATCAGAAATGGCTTCTTCCACTCTGTCTTCAGCCACATTCTCTTCGGCAGGGAAGAAGAAGTGGCAAGCCACTTGAGGAACGGGAGGCTCATCAGGTTCTTCATCTTCGATGATCAAGACGTCGGAATTTGTAGAGGCTCTTCTCCGAGAACTCTGCACTCTGGATACGCTTACTCCCACGTATTCAACATCATCAGACTCTGCGGCACTGTTGAAAAGAATATTACAGAATTAAAACACAAACATAACTCTCTAGTTATGTTAATCTCTATTAACACTTGATTATTGTTAATAGTTACTGAAGACGATAATCATAATTTAATTTTAAAAAGTTTAGCAATCTTAATCAGATTTACAGGTGTTTAGAAAATAAATAATTTTTTTACCATATTTTGATTCGGGTGCCAACAGACTTAGACTTTGTCACTATGATGATTCCACTACAGTAATTAGGTGAAGTGAAAGATCAATAATTAGATATCTGAAACCTATAATCACTGGCAAAAGAATTCTTCTAACAAACAAACAAAATCGTCCAAAGCAAGTTTTAATCTTGCAGATTTTTTTTAAATTTAAATAAATGAGTTTGATTTTTTTAAGGTTTTATTTTAATTATTAGTTTCTAACTTATTTAACTTTTTTTCCAAAAAACAGGTACAGTAGGCTATCTCTAATCTTGCACTGCGCCACTCCGGTAATCTGGAGTCTTTTGACGCGTGAGGTCTTCAGCGATCAAGGCAACATCATGAAAATCAGACATGGTCGTTGTCTTCTCCAACGATATAAACAACTCATGGATCGCTGGCTCAGTGTTGGCCGCGCGGTCGAGCTTCCCCCACCATCTACTGGCAGAAGCCGACGCAGCCCATACATTCACCATTAAAAAACACACTTTTTATTTGCTGCTCTGTTGAAATTTATAGGGATAAAATATTGCAAACGCTTGTCAAACTCTTTTTACTAGTTAAACCTTTTATGTCTGTTTTGTTTCTTGCAGAAAATAGCCCATCTGAATTCTTTAAAACTACAAATTCACTAAACCCGTTTTGTAGATGTTTTTAGACAACTGATATTGCTAGTTCCAATTTGTACATGGTAAAATAATAAGTGATTACAAAGGAGAAATAGAAAGTACAATATTTGTAATTGAAATTCTATTTTATTAATCGAAAAAATAGTACATAAACATTTAGAATAATTTTGCTAAGTTATTGCCGCAGTGGTAACGTTATGTTTGACGTAAACGCGATATTTTTTTCTTTCAATGTTTAATGACAATGTATCTTACAAAATAGGTCATAAAAAAGTATGCCTATCACGTTAATGTCAAGCATAGATTTGCGGTAAAAACTGGACAAATGTAGTAGCGTTTTTAAGAGTTCAAATGTGTTATTTTCTGCAAGAAAAGAAGAAGACATAACGTTTTTAATAGTAAAAAGTGTTTGGCATGCATTAGCAATATTTTATATCTACATATTTAAACAGAGCAGCAGTGCGTTTTACAATGGTGAGTGTATGGGCTGCGTCGGCTACTGCCAGTAGATGGTGGGAGGAGCTAGACCGAAAACAGCGCCCGCAGTACTACTGAGAGCGCAATCCAGTAGTTTTTACATCGTTGGTCTTCCCCGATCGCGGCAAAAATCTGATCAACTGCAGTGGCTGTGTAAACATCATTATTCATTCCCGCGGTAACGGAAACGTCATCGTTGTCTTGCGCTATCCCGGCAAAATCCTTAACATCTCCCATGGTCGTTTAGACATTATCATCGCCTCCTGAGGTCACAGAAACGTCACTGTCGTCTTGCACGATAGCGGCAAAATTCTTATAATCTCCCGCAGCCGTGTAGACATTATCGTCTCTAACGATTACGGAAACGTCATTGTCGTCATGCCCGATCGCGGCAATAGCAGTTTCCAATTGAGCGATCTTCGTGGACGTGTTTTAAGTGCATTTTAAGTGTTCTTATTGATAACATTCCAGTAATCCGGCATTCTCACTAATTCGCCGGTATAACGGACCTATATCTGCCGGATTACTTAGAGTCTACTGTATTCCACTCTATGGATTATAAATTGTTCAGCAATGTTTGTTTCAATCCAAGTTAGTCCAAAGGTCAAACCAAGTTTCTATTATTATAATCTATGAAATCAAAACTAAGATAAAAAAAACAAGTAAAATGTGTCTATAGGCCTACAGATTGATAAGAGATTTTGGCTACATCATATTTCTGTTCGACTAAATATTTATATTCAGCGTAGGTAAAATTTGAAAAGTAGGTTTCAAAAATAGCAATTAACACTGAATAAATATCAGTAATAACAATAAATAGTAAAATACACACTCTAAAATGCCTAGAATCATTGCTAGAATCTTATATTCTATCTTAAAAAAAACTTGCCTGTCCGTATCTTCTGCCAAATTTATTATTTCTTTTTCTCCATTCATAGTTAACTTCAAGTCTGAAAATTAAATAGCATGGCTAATTTATTTATAATACAGTTATCACAGTTAAAAAAAAATAACTTAGATTCTACACTCATGTTATAGGTGTATAACCCCGTGGATCAGAACCCCATAGAACATCCATGAGGTCAATTTGATAGATATTACTTTGCAGGAAATTGAAATCAAACATTAGTCATTATACTAGGCTATATTGCTACAATCTCTAAGTTAATGGGTCAATCCATTATGATTCATACAATAAACAAATTTTTTGTTGCTCAACATTTTTAATTTTGGCTAAACTTTCATAAAAAGTTAACTCGATACTGTAGATAAATATATATGATATTTATGGTTTAAGATATTGATAAATAGAAATGCCATGCAAGTATTAAAAAAAATTTTTCCCATCAGAATTTCTTTTTGCGGCCATCTTTGTTTGTGTGAAACCTGCGTTTTTGACAGAATATAGGCCTAATTAAATTTCATTTTGTAGCCCCTGAACTGCGTAGTATAGGCCTAGACTAAACTATTAAATACCTCGTCTTGCAGTTCAAATACAGTAGGCCTATAGTGTTTGAAGTCCACTATAGGCTATATATATATATATATATATATATATATATATATATATATATGTTTTGCCAAAATATGGCATTCTCAAGTGGTCTCAGTCAGTGCCGTTATTCGGGTTGTGTGTTGTAGGGCTACATGTTTAAATGATTATTCGTTGATTTATGTTGCGTGTCACAAAGTAAATATCCTTGAATTTGAAATAACATGTTGAGGAGTCCAATTTGGATCAAATGTTTTCGTAGGCCTAATAAAACAAAAGATGCTGTCTCATTTTGACTAGTGTCAAATCACATTTCAAATTCCTTACGGTGCTTATTAAATTTGCTAACCTAATAGTAAAAGTAAATTTGTAGAACGTGTGGGATGACTCAGCGATTTTATTAATTATTTAATATTTGGCTTGATATTAATTATTTAAATGTAAGGCCACTTAGGGATCTCTCCAAAAAACATTCATTGTATTTTTGGATTCAGCAGTGAAAAAAACTTAAAGTAGGCTACCGGTACTAAGACATCTAGGCCTATCCTAAATTACATTTTTACCCTATGTGGACATAAGGCTACGGAAAAATTACCAACATCTTAACCTAAGCCGTTGTTTTAACTTTTGCCCAAGCTGTTAAGTAAGGTATAAACCAACGTCTTAGAAGCCAATGTTTAGTAAGTTTTAGGCCTAAAAGTTAACATAACTTAGGCTTGAATTGGCATTACTGAGGCGAGAGTAGTCCAAATGAACCTTGACTTAAGTTACCCTAGTTAAGTTAACTTCTCCTTTAGGATTTAAAAAGTCTAAGTTATATGTGGGCTAAACCAACTCTGTTATCAGTAGGGTAGCCTAAGTTACACTTAATTTATAGTAAACATATAGGGGGTTGACTTCCGTATCTGTTGACAAAATTAACCAAATTAACATATCAATCAATATTTGTTATTTGGTTGTTTCATTATAAGAGGATGCACTTATGTCCTACATTTAACTCACATTTGCAGTTTGGTTAAGGCTAGGTTTAGTTTAGAACAGTTTAGTAGGCCTAATTTCATAATCAGCTGGTAGGCCTAGTTTGTGGTCATAGTATAATGTAGCCTATAAGTAAGTTAGTAAATGTAGGACGTACAGGCCTAAACTAAAACGCAACGATTCGATATATCGTTTGGTTAGTTACGTTAACCTAACCAACCAAAGAGTAACTTAACCCTAGCAGTGGCCAATGTTAGAAGTGGGGAATGGCCAACCCATTTTGGCGATTTTGCAGACCTTTTTTAAAAATCTGTCAAAATTACAAATATGGACTCAACCTATCAATGTTTATATTCATTTTATTCAGAAAAAGCAGGAGAATCTGAATATATAAATAAAAATTGAATCTGAGTTGGTAACTTTTTTGAAAAATAAAAAAAATCATAAAAAATTCAAAAATTCTGATTGAAATTTCAAAAGTAAAGTCTTGTTATTACTACAGTATAATTTTCAGACCAAAACCATTATATACATTTTGTAGTAAATTCAATTCCCTACATAGAAATGTATAACACATGGGGGAAATATTTTTTTTACAAATGTTACCTATGTAAGAAAATGAAGAAAATTCAAATTTTGTGGCATAAGACGAATTATTAGTAACTCGGAGATAACTCATGTAAGGTAATTAGTGATAATAATATAGTACACATATTCTTGTAGGTTATAAACTACCGTAAGGAATACAAATATATCACATTGTAGGCAGTAAAAAAATTTTGATTACCCGTTTATGATACAAAAAACTAAAAATTTACAGTTTACATAGAAAAAAATTCAAAGACATTTTTGTAAAAAAATTTTGTACAGATTTTTGTAGGCCAAACATATTATAAAAATGTTATAGTACATTCAATTCTCTTTATAGAAATGTATAACACATGGGGAAAATATTTTTATTTACATGTGGGTCAATCCATATCAAGTCATCCAGGGCATGACACCCATGTTCTCAGATTCTAATGATTTTTTTTTTCATGTGTTCCTTTTGCTATTCTAATTATGAATACCAAATTTCATTTTGATATCTTGAATACTTTTTTAGTTATGAATTTTCAAAAATTGCTAAAAAAGAGCGTTTTCTCGTTTCCGCCGATTATTGGGAGTACGAAATTGTTTTTGTAAAAAAATCATTACTCAGTCAGTATTTATCATATCACAATGGGACTTTCACTAAAATGTTCAGAAAATCTTGTAGAATTAAGGAAAAATATGTTTATGGGGGTGGTCATTTTATGTTCCAGTCAGTAATCCATCCAACTTTAATTTTGGTCTAATCTTTAGCAAAAAACACGAAATTTTTAAAAATTGATGAAAATTATAGGCACTATGTAAACCAAAGGTATTTTATCATATTTATATTCCTAAGGACATATACTAACAGGTTCTTAAAGAAAAACACTGGGATTTTCACTGCCTTTTAGTTTGTACCTCAATAAACAGAAAAATAAAATTTTCATAAAAAAGGCAGAGTGCGGACAGTTAAACCTGTACTAAGAATCAATAGCTACTTCAGAAAGTGTTATTAAAAAAATTATCAAGACCCATTTATAATAAAGTAGAATTATAATTTTGAAAGGCAATAAAACTGAAGTTTAAAAGCACTGACCCAAATTGGTAGGCCTACAATGTCAAGCTTAGTACAAAAAAGACGCTTGAAAAAATATGTACAGTATTAAGAAAATATGAAAACTTCTTACCACTAATCCTTAATGGATACAATTTTTGGAGATACTCAATCTGCTTTTTACATGAAGCACTTAATTTTGTACTTGGTTTTTTGTCAACATGTTTTGGCACTGTTTTTCAATTAAATCCATTTCTTTTTTCGGGAAATAATACATGGTTGGGTAGCAGGAAACTATTCAGTTCTGGCAGAGAGGCTGCAATTTTAGGTGGTTATAGTATACGAGTTTCTGAATCTAAAACCGCCCAGACCTTATTATTATTTTAAATTAATTATTTTAAATATGAAGGTGGTGTTGTGACCCATCATTTTAAACTACTTTTTTATGCTGAATTCAATACCGCAATCCGTTTTTCATTGTCATATTTGGTTTTTGAAATATTGACTTTTTAAATCAAAATAATTGTTATATTTTATCAAGAAAGCTTGATAACAAAAAACTTATAAAATAATTGATCACATTTCTAAATGGTGGATCCAAGATGGCGGCTGAAAAAAATACATCCGTCATAACCGAGTGAAAATAGGTCAACAATGAATGGTGGTGTCCACTTATCTTTATCTAGCACTATTTTGAGATTATGACCTTAGTTTGTAAATGCACAATGTAATAATGGACTAAAAATAAATTTATAAAAATTTCTCATTATTTTAGAGTGGATCAACATTTTTTTAAACGAATTGCAGCATCGTATTCAGCGTAAAAGTCTTGTTTGAAACGGTGGGTCACAACCCTACCTTTACATTTGAAAAAATAACTTCGTATCCAATATGGCGGATCCAAAATGGCGGCCAAAAATTTAAACCCAGTCAAAATGAAGCACTTGCTACTATACAATTTCTGACGTGGTTCGGAGTTGATATCTTAAGAAATGTATAAAAAAGTAGGGAGGGGGGAACTCATTTAATTTAAAACTCACCCTGTATAAAACAATTCACAATTATTTTCCTCATATTTTTTTTAGTTTTGAACAGCCGCCATTTTGAAATGACTTGATGAAACTTGACCATTTTCAACCCAGGCCGAGATAATGTATTCAAGCACTTGTGTGCCAAATTTCATGAAAATCGGTTAAGGCATTCGGTCGTTATAGCCAATTCATGGGGACCCAGCATCCTCTTACGGCCGCCATTTTGATGACGTCATTACGGACGACCGAGGTCCTTAAAAATTGGGGTCTGGGTGGTTTTAAGTTCAGAAACTTGTATACTATAACCACCTACAATTGCAGCCTCTCTGCCAGAACTGAAATGTTTTCCTGCTACCCAACCTGACTAAATGTATTATTTCCCGAAAAAAGAAATGGATTTAATTGAAAAACAGTGCCAAAACATGTTGACAAAAAACCAAGTATAAAATTAAGTGCTTCATGTAAAAAGCAGATTGAGTATCTCCAAAAATTGTATTCATTAAGGATTAGTGGTAAGAAGTTTTCATATTTTCTTAATACTGTACATATTTTTCAAGTGTCTTTTTTGTACTAAGCTTGACATTGTAGGGCTACCAATTTGGGTCAGTGCTTTTAAACTTCAGTTTTATTGCCTTTCAAAATTATAATTCTACTTTATTATAAATGGGTCTTGATAATTTTTTTAATAACACTTTCTCAAGTAGCTATTGATTCTTAGTACAGGTTTAACTGTCGGCACTCTGCCTTTTTTATGAAAATTATATTTTTCTGTTTAATGAGTTATAAATTAAAAAGCAGTGAAAATCCCAGTGTTTTTCTTTAAGAACCTGTTAGTATATGTCCTTAGGAATATAAATATGATAAAATACCTTTGGTTTACATAGTGCCTATAATTTTCATAAATTTTTCAAAATTTCGTGTTTTTTGCCAAAGATTAGACCAAAATTAAAGTTGGATGGATTACTGACTGGAACATAAAATGACCACCCCCATAAACATATTTTTCCTTAATTCTACAAGATTTTCTGAACATTTTAGTGAAAGTCCCATTGTGATATGATAAATACTGACTGAGTAATGATTTTTTTACAAAAACAATTTCGTACTCCCAATAATCGGCGGAAACGGGAAAACGCTCTTTTTTAGCAATTTTTGAAAATTCATAACTAAAAAAGTATTCAAGATATCAAAATGAAATTTGGTATTCATAATTAGAATAGCAAAAGGAACACATGAAAAAAAAAATCATTAGAATCTGAGAACATGGGTGTCATTTTCTTTTTTTGCTGGATGATTTGAAATGGATTGACCCATGTGTTATGTAAGAAAATACGAAAAATCGCAAGGTTTGTCACGTAAGACGAATAATTAGTAGACCTAATTCGGAGATAGCTCATGTAAGGTAATTAGTGATAGTAATATAGTACACATATTCTTGTAAGTTATAAACTAAGAAATACAAATATGTCACATTGTAGGCAGTAAAAAATTTTTGATTAGGCCTACTCGTTTATGATACAAAAAAACTAAAGATTTGCCGTTTATGTAAAAAGAAATTCAGATATTAGACTTTCCAGTAGGCTTATATTCATGCATAAAGATTACTGTTAGTCCTAAAACACAAAAAAATTACAAAAAAAAAACACTACATAACTACAAAATCCGAAATTAGAATGATTCCCAAGATATTCGCCGAACAATATTTACTTTCAAAACGTAAGTCAGCTGATCCGCACAAAACAAACAGAGTAACTTGGTCAGATGGCAATTTTCTTTTGTTGCTGATAGAACACAGAAATTATACAGTGATCAGGGCTGCCATTTCTCAACACTAAATTATTCTACGTTTCCTACACTACAAACGGATATTATATTTGAATAGTTATAAATATTCCATTATATATATATTTCGACTTTAGAAATGGTCCTGGCGGGACCATTGGCCATTTGTTAGTTTTTGTAAAATTACGTGTTTTCTAAAAATCATCTGTTCTTTGCTATCAATGTATTGATAAAATAATCTATGCCAAAATATTCAGCAACTCTACTGCTATCTAGTGGTATAACTCGCATCGATATAGGGAAAAAACTAACCTCGCTATGATTTTCTAAACTTTATGTGTTTAGCGGTTACGCAACACTACAAGTAGAAGTAGATTCGCGCAGAAATTTTCATTCAAATTTAAATTGCAATTACGTTGACATATTGACGCTAGAAGGTTCATTTATATAATAAAATGAAAGTTTAGAATGTCATCTTTCGAATGGTAGCCTATATGAACTATCCACTTTAAAGATAATTATCAATTAGTTTTTAGCATTAAAAAATGTTTGGACATAAATGGTCCCGGCGGGACCATGGCCATTCTAAGGGTGCACGGTGAAATGGTCCCGCCAGGACCATTGGCCACTGCTAGGGTTAAGTTAGCTTATATCGAATTAAATAATCGATATACTTAAGTTTATCGATCGATATTTTTATTGTGTTGTTTTTGACAACAGATACGGATGGCTACCCAACCTAGGCCCTAAGTTTATGCCTGAGTTATAGCATAAGCCTAACTCAAACCTAGCCATCAATCAAACTGTGAGGTTAGGTTATACTTAGTAGCCTAGGCCTACCTAGGTTAGAAGCAAGTTTTTTCCTTCAATGTTAAACACATATTCAGCATACTTTTATGATTCCTTATATCAGAGACTGGCTAGAAATAGCACCAATGTAAAGCGATATTAGGCTACATAGGCCTAGCTAGAATCAATTACTTAGGCCTATTAACTGTATAAATCGTAACTCAATCAATGACAAATTTTTATGAGTACATTTCCCAAGGCGATAGACGTTGCGTAAACAATCCGGTAGGACTAGTTGAATGATTCAAATCCAATTTTGAGGTTAACTTTTTGGAAGTGTGGACGGACGCCTGTATTTTACAATAACGCGCACTCTCTCTTGCTCTTCAGCAGCTCAACAACGAGTCAACAAAAACAAAAGTCCCATGCCGATGCCATAGCCATTCGCTTCAACAATCATCGCCTTCATTCACGATCCCCGTACCGTAATCGTAGTCTCGCAATCGGCGACTATTGCAATCGCAACACCCGTTTGATTGCACTTTACATGCGTTGATGCGTTTACTGTACCACCTTCCCTTCCTACTTCCTAGTTCCTTTCTTTCCTTCTTCCTTCACCTTTACATTACACTTCGCCACACTTTCACTTTTCCCCTTTTGACCGTTCCGTTATCAAATTACATACAGACAGATCACAGATGCTACAATTGTTTATTCTATGTTGACTTTTTTAATGAAGACATCGCGGCATACAAGTGCAGCAGAGAAATATGTCCATGAAGCCCCATTCCATAAACATAGCTCATAGCCCCACAGCGTATAAAACTATTAGCGTCTAGTCTAAAATTTACTTGCCCGTAGCCGTGGGGCTTGAAAATATCTATTTTGACATCTTATGAGGTTGACGATATTTCGCTATACGTATCTTATACTCTTATATGAGCGATGTCTGCTTGTTATACATTCTTGCACAAAAATCTAGTTTGTTTATCTTTATCAACTAAACTCCAGGCCACGGCCTTCGATGTGGCAACATCGCAAGTAGGGTTGTAAAAGCTGTTTTGTTTGAAAGGAGCATGGTATTTATGTATTTACGACAGCTTGGTTATTGGACTATGAAAATAATGACTCCACTATAATATGCTAATATAGATTTTCAATTCATATTGTTTAGTTTTCAATTCTATGTTTTATTATCAATATTATAATAAATTTATGTTCATAAATTGAAATTTAAATCAATAAAGTGAGAATTAATATAAGCTTATATGTCACCTGTCTGCCATGTTATCTTATGGGACGTCTGACACTAAACTTAAACTAACAACCCTACTTGTGACGTTGCCAATTCTACCAGGCCACGGCCACTGGCCAGGAGTTAAATGTTGCCGGTGCTACAATAGCTGTTTTGTTTTGTACCCATGCTTTGCAATGGCAGGACACGAAATAGAAACATGCTGATCTTTACTTCTGTTGTATAAAATAGTTACGCATCCGCCAACAATTTTAAAATCCAAATTTATGGACTTTATGTAAACGTTTTATGGCTTTCTGGTTGGTAGTGAAAAGAAAACCACAATTAATTTTGGTTTGTTATTAATTTTATAGGTGTAAGCTAATGTCACGGCCACCTAGTATAGACTATACTATTATGTAAAAGAAAATGTTATTAGAAAACCATATATGTTATTCTAGTAATTCACTTTGTATTATCATAGATAAAACATACTCCCGTATTATCTCCTAAGCTTTGCACTGTACATTATTTTGCTCCTACTTTGCATTGTTAATGACTTTTAATCAGCTTAGTTTTACTTTTATTTACCCAATGTAATAATTATTCCATGTCCATACAAAACTGTTTTCTTTTCTTGTTCAGTGTTTAAAACTGTCAAAACAAAGAACACATTTATCGCAGTTGTAATCCATCTTTTATTTACTTGATACATCCTGTATTCAACTATATAAACACATCGCTGACTGTATTAGGTTTTTCCCGATGGTGGAAGGAAAAAACATTTTCCCCTGTAACATCCCTTTTTAGCTGTTCTAGGTACTTACATAGATAAAACATAGACTATGGTTTATCTATATCTATGGTACTTAAAACCATAGACAATAGTAACTGGTTTTCTTAGTCTATGGACCTTATTTGATTGAAAGGAGTCGTGTCATTTTAAAGCTTGATATAGCGCACTTGCGAACGGTAATTTTGAAAAGGCAATTCCATTAGGCTTTTGCATTCCCCCTTATACATTTATTTCTATGAGTCCATTTTCAAGGATCCCCTCATGCCGACTAGTTTACTTTTTAATGGCTTGAAAAGTATATGAATTGTTATTTAACACTGTTTCTTCAGATTAATGCGTTTGCAATGGGGGAGGATACTGTTTGATAAAATTTGCTTCTTTAAATTTACGGAATACTATAGTATTACACATACAGTGTGTAAATTAAGTATTGAAACAAATCTGTATTTTTTAAAGTTTAAACCGAAATAGATAGAAATATTCTGTTTGTGGCAATAAACTGTTAACAAAATGTTCTGCAATTTTTTACATCAAAAATATTTTTTACCCCCCCCCCCCCCTCCCCCGTAACAGGGTAGTGGGTGACTTATTTTTTCAAATAGCAACCCCTATTGAGTGACCCCTTTTTAAAGGGTTTGTCAAAAGAAATACAATGACTTAAATTCAAGGTGAATATCTCACCCCTAGCCAAAATGGTGGACATTCCAATATGGGTGTTTTTTTACAAAAATTAAATTTTGGAATACCCGCCATTTAGGCTAGAGGTGAAATATCTACCTCGGGTTTGCGTCATCGTTTTTCTTTTAACAAACCCTTCAAAATGGGGGGTCACTCAATAGGGGTTGTTATTTGAAAAAAATAAGTCACTCACACCCCCTACCCTGTTAAAGGGGTTGAAAAAATATTGTTGATGTAACCAATTAATCTATGTTAACAATCAATTCCATAAACAGAATATTTCTATCTATTTCAGTTTAAAAAATACAGAGTTCCTTCCATTATTTGTGAAATTGGTGCTTTTTCACATACAGTAAATCAAATTTTGGAATACCTGCCATTTTGGCTAGGGGTGAGATATCCGCTTCGGGTTTGCTTCATTGTGTTTCTTTAGACAAATCCTTCAAAAGGAGGGGTCACTCAACAGGGGTTGCCATTTGAAAAAATGAGTAATCCCCAACCCCCTACTACCCTGTTAGGGGGTTAAAAAAATATGTTTGATGTGAAAAATTATTGCCACAAGCAGAATATTTCTATGTATTTCGGTTTTAAAAATATAGATTTGTTACAATACTTCATTTACACACTGTATACCATGTGTAGTTATGATGTTCTACCACTTCACCTAAACAATAGAAAAAAAGAAAATTCACAAAATATCATGAAATTAAAAACACAAACATAACTGTAAATAATCCTACTTTCACAGTTCTCATTTTGTATCACAGTTTTTTATTGCTGCATAGTTCAAATTAGCTGTTTTCATAAATGCAAAAAATAAGTACTGCACCCAGTTGATAAAATCTTATAACTTTTAAATAATGCTTTTGCATGTCATAGAACATAGAACCAACTTTTTAGTTGAAACAGCTTACTTAATTATTTAATTCCCTTTAAATATGAATACCCATAAGGCTTACATGGGAAACTCCAGACCCGCTGGGACAGAGTCTGAAAGGAGTTTTGAGATAACAATATGCCTATATGTTAATCGGGAATGTGAGCTATCATCACCCCAAATTTTAGCCCAATCCGACGAGTACTTTTCACATTTACTTGTCACAAACATACATCCAAACTTTCTCATTTATATAATACTAGCTGTTACCCACGGGCTTCTGACATAAGCATTAATAAAACTATTGATTGGTTAAGTTTACCTGAAATAAACAAAATACAGTAAAAAAAATAGTATTACACATCTACCATAGCCATAATGTTCTACCGCTTCACCAAAAAAAATATAATTTCGAAAATTTTCAAAAAAAAAATAAGTTCACGCTCAATGAAATTGTATAAATTATAGGCCTATAAATATTTGAAAATAGCCACTTTGTTCTAAATTTTATGAGGATTACAAATATATAATAATATAAGGAAGTAGATCTGCAAATAAATAAGTTATGGGCAAAAAACTGATTTCAGTACATAGCGTTTAGCTAAGAATGCATAGCCTAACCATAGCTAGGAATCTGGCTGATAATTTACATCAATATCACTACCTACTTCTTCAGGATCATCAACCAGCACTTCAAAACCACTTAAATCTTCTAATGCACCACGTATATCACTACTTTTGATTTTTAACACTAAAACAATGATAAACGTAATAAAACACATCAGTCATCGGTCCGGGGGAACCTAGCTGTTTACAAATACACGCACGTCAGCTGTCTGCTACAATATTTTCGGAACTAAAATGAATAGCGCTTAGAGACAGACCTCTGGAGAAAGCTTAGAATATTACGGAAAGAACGATACCTAACTCGATCCAGTTCAATCCGATTCAGTCAGTCATAGAGCCTTCGCCGTAAACGATGTCTGCGTGTCGAAAAATCGACAAGTAACACTACACAAAGTGTGCTGCTTGTCGAATTTTCGTCAAGTAACACTGGGAGGGCTAAACAATAGAGAAAAATAAATTATCAACAATTCGCAAAGTATCACAAATTATTCATGAAATGAAAAACATAAACCTAACTGTAAACAATCCTACTTTGACAGTTTTCATTGTGAATCACAGTTTTTTGTTGCTGCTTAGTTCAAATTAGCTATTTTCATAAATGCAAAAAAAATATAGTGCTGCACCCTGTTGGTAAATCTTACAACTTTTTAATGCTTTTCCATATCATAGAACCATCTTTTTTAGTTGAAACAGCTGACTAACTTCTTTAATTCCCTTTAAATATGAATACTCATAAGGTTAACATGGGGAATTACAGAGCCACTGGGGTGGAGCCCGAAAGGATTTTTGAGATAAGAATATGCCTATATGTTAATCGGGAATGTAAGCTATCATCATGTCAAATTTCAGCCCAATCCGAGGTTTATGCGTGATTGAACTTCAAACACACAAACAGACAAACAAACAAACACACAAATTTTCACATTTATAATATTAGTAAGATTAGTAGGAAGATTGAATTTTCCCTATTAAAATTAAACGGGTAAATTCTTCCAAGATGTTACATTTCCGAGGAGGTACAGTCTGCACCACAAGTGAGAAGCAGATCCAAAGTGGGGTTCTGCCAGCCACAACTTTAGAAAAGAAAAGGATTTGTTTAAATTTGGGTGTAAACATGTTTATTTGAACACAAGTAGAAAATAGTTTTATTTAAATATGCAACATGGTAACAAAAAAATAAATATGTAGGAAACAATGAAACTGTACACTTTTTGCAGAACCGTTATCATTCTCTTAGGCTACTCAGCCATATTCAAACGGTACTTCATGGGGTTTGAGGGATCCTTGACGATCACATGGCCTTTCATCATCGTGATCATTGCAGGATTTTGCAGAGTTTCAGGTGAAAGTTCAATGAACTGATCCTCTTCATTATCATTTTGCATAAATGCGTCCGTCAATTGCTGTAAACAAAAGTAATAGCACAATTACTTCTAAGGTTGTTGAGCCGATCTTATTTCTTTTTTAGGTAAACTTCAAGATTCAGTGTCTATTTGTACGCCTATTAAATACAGTAGAGTCCCACTATTCCAAGCCCAGCTAATTCGATAATCATTCTATTGCGAACTGAAGTTTGGAAATTATGTAATGTATATTTTAACAATAATGCTGAGAACTATAATGATTTCCCGAACATCGGCAAGGCACTAAAAATATTTAAAGGTTAGATCTTACCGCAAATGTTGGTGATGTTAGCAATGATGACTGAAATTTCCTTGAATCAAGTGATATCACAAACGTCAATAGAATTAGCAATATCTCCACTAACGGTGGCAAATCTGGTGCGGATACCACAAACATTGTTATAGGTAGTATTAAAACTGCATTTTATAGTTAATATCAACGTGGCAAAATTAATTATTCCCATATGAACAACATAGACGCTTTCAATAGCTTAAAATGTTGCAGAAGCATGGTCATTCTCTCCAGTGTTTGCGGCAACATTTTTATCAACATTGTCTCATCTTGCATGATCGTTTATAAAGCTCACATATTTCACTATCACAACAACTAAACTTACATCAACCACAATCCCCATGATTTCACCATCCATACAAATCGACCTAATTACAGAATTACATCTATATATTCAAACACAGTTCAGTTCCAGTTAGTTTAGAATAGCAAGACTTTACTGTAAATCTTTTTGGTATGATGGTCATTCATTTCAATAATTAACACATGTTGTTAACCTTTTATAACTCACACACAAAAAACAAACGGACCATTCACTGATGTTGTAAAATCATAATGGCAGAGCAGGTGAATCGATACCTCTTAGATGCTCAGATAATTTCTCGTTTGTCTTGGTTACCTGAATATTTGAAGGGAAGTTGAGAATGGAACAGTAATATCTATGTAGCCTAAAACTAGCCTAGAATCTAACAGTGGCTGTTTCAGGGGGGGGGCCATCGGGGCTAAAGCCCCCTCCCAATAAATAAATATAAATTTAAACATACATTTTGTCATAAAACCATAATGCAGGTTTTTGGAAACAGTTCTATACGTTAAAATTGCTTTAAAAATGCAATTTTTTCAGTAGAGGAGCCCCTTCTAGTGTGGAAGATCCCCTCCTTGACAAGGTCCTAGAACGAACACTGGTGACATGCAGTTGAACAAAATATAAAGATTGTATTGAGAAGAAATTATTTATGACAAGGAGAATCAAAGATAGTGATTAACAAATTTTCTGTCTGAGGAAATGTTCCATCGTTCTAGTGCTTCAAATGCAGTAGTTTGTTCAACCATTTAAAAAAGGTTGCCGTAACACTCAAAATCACAATCTTATGAATTTGTATACTCACAGCCATTGTTAATGCAAACTCCCTTTTCATGTTTTCAGGATATAGAACCGACAGAATTGTATTCTGAAACAAAACACCACTTGATGTTAATTGCATTTACAAAAGCAATTTTTTTGCTATAGAAATCCCATAATCACCCACTGGATAAATACTGGTTACAAACATTATTGAAAGATAGAAATCTTTCATGGTGATATAATAATTATTAAATCATTACCTAAATTATTAAAGTTATAATCATAACAGAATATTTTCATAATCGTAATACATTTATGTAAAAAAAAAACACATTATATACGAAACTAACAAAAAACAGTAAAACCCAATATTTCGTCCCTGTTCCCTAACAGGGAACAGAACGGAAGGGAGAATCCTTAACAGGGACAAAATATCAAGTTTTACTGTTGTGTTGAGGGTTTTGTGTGTTACCAAAGCTAAAATCAACCAGGTAAGCTAGCTGATCCCTATCCTTGTACATAATAATCCTCATCAGTATGTATAGTTTGATTTTAAACAGAGTGATTCGATACAAGTGTGGTCTTCAGACAACTTACCAGATCCTTTTTTGCCTCATTGAACAGTTGATTAACTTTTTCTCCCTCATTTGTAACGTCTTCGTTTTCCTTTAACTTCTTGAATGTTTCTATCTGTTTCTCGACCCTAGAATTCAATGAATAATTTGAAGTACATATTTACTAGATGTTTTATGGGTGTTCACAGTGTATACGCAATGTTTTAACTTACACTATATGTTCTTGATTCTACTTTAAGTACAACTCCAGATTCAAACAATAGTATCTATCATCATATCCTGCATATGAGAATATCTACTTTGCCAGACAACAAACTGCTAGTTCACCAAAGTTCTGTCAGAATATCCGGGCTAATCCCCACTACCTGTTGGGGAAAAGGTTGTCTGTTCATCAAGCCAATTGGGAAACAAGGAAAAGTACGTAAAAATTCTATAGAGCTAGGAAAAAGTATGTGAATTATACTTTTGTACGAATGGAGAAATTTGGAATAATATCCAATAATTTACGGTGAAGCACCCATTCATTAGCGGCAAAAGCCGTCTTAAAGGATGAACGTAATCGCAGAAGATGGTGTTGTGATCAGGTGTATCTGTTTATAACTTTACCCTACATATGCTCAATAATTAAGTTTGATATATACGTGTGAAAATCAATAAACAAAGATATAATTATTCGATTATATCAATTTTTTAAGATGGGGACACCACTATGTGCAAATTTTAAGTTTTAACCCATATATATGAGTGAAGAATGAGTGATGTGATCTTGTAGTCTTGTTAGTGACCAAGGCGGACATGTTAATAATTGAAAAGAAACATCCAAATATAGGCACATTTAAAAAAATATGACATCCACTATGACACTTGATTTACAAAAATTTGAAAATTTTATAATTCATTGAGATTACAATAGAATATAAATGATGATGCCATTAAATTTTTCCTTTTTAGCAAATTTCTCCTATAGGGAATAAGCTATTATCGATTTACTATTTTGTTTTGAGGTCCCTATAGACCAAAAATACCATCCGTTCAAATTCATATACAGTATATTAATGTGTTGTGATCAAGAGAATGAAAGTTCTTTGATTTTACAGATTGAGAATACATTTATATTTAGATAGCCAAAGGTTTAAAAAGATAACTTTAGAAGTAATTTGAATATTTATGTCTAAAGAAACATATTTACCTTTCACACTCTGTTGTGGTAGCTTTCAGATCTGCAATGAGTGTGCTTACGTCATGGCTGATTTGGTCATGTCTGTCTTTCAGAAGAGTAGCATACTTCTGATAACAATGTACTTTTGCTTTTGGAATATCTGAAAAATTGCATGGTCATTACAACTAAGTTGAAGGGTAAAAGTTTGAACATACACAAATTTAACAAAGTGTAATTTAATAATAGGTTACTGATCAATTGTTCTATAAGATTCAGCTAACACACTTCAATTAAAACCTACTGCAACAAATTGAAAAGTATTCCATTGCTAAGGGATTGGGTGAAACTTATGACTTGATAGGCTGTTTGCCTCCAGTAAATCACGTGGCCTTTGCATACGTAGTTTGATGGCTGAAATAGTTTAAGTGATGTGACAAGTTGAATATTAAGTCTAATAGACACTTGAGAAAATATTTCCGGTTAAGTCAGTTCCTTAAATAAATCCTTTATTTGCAAGCGAGATTCATTTCTTTCCTTAGTTGTCTGTAGTCAACGCTAGCGCTTTTGGCTCGTAGTCGAAACTCAGAGAATATTTTGGACTCCACTCTGAACAGTACCTACCAACTCGGAATCTGGTATACAGCGCTACTGACTTGTAGTGGCAATTCTATAAACTGTGCCTGACTTTTCACTGACTTTTGCAACTGGGGCGTAAAACATCAAGGCGATAAATTCATAAACTAACCACCAAGCCCTTGGGCTAAGTATTGAGGTGATAAGTACCCAGCAGATTTGATACTTTAATCGACTTGGTACTTTACCAAGGTAGGATTGTTTCAAGCTATCCTGGTGAACAACTTGTTACTCTTACAGCACCACTTGTAGCTCTTGTACGGTAACTACAATTCGGAATTTCCATGTAGTTTAACCCTTTGAGTTTCATAGGCTGATAAATCTTCACAAAAGTACAACCACTTGTCAACGCAAGTTTTTACTCAAGAAAAAAATGTGAAATCTAAATTATACTTGACATATTCTGCAAGCTGAGTCAAATTTGGAACTTCTTTGCGCAGGTTTTTGGTTGACCAATGTTGTCAGGATAGGCTATTTATCACCAGCGTCATTTAAACTTAACGGGATCGTTTTGACAGCAACCAGGTAATTTAAATGTTTGTTTACTGAAACAATCCAATCCATCAAGAAAACGGCTGTTGCCCACCAGATGTTGGGTGATTACACCAGATGTAATCAGGATGATTAAAATTTCCAACTGCCTATTAAAGTTATTAAGGAAAGTAGCTACTTGTAGCCTAATCCTAACAAGCCTATAACCATTCACTAAGTACCTAAAAAATAAGTCCTGTTGCTCACTGAAAAATTGTATTAGGCCTAATTAAGTATTATTTAAGGTTCCCTGGATCATTGTTTAGAATTGAACTAACTGCCATAACCTGTAGACCTAAATTATCTAAAAAAAAAAAAAATAGGAATATAAAACTTACCAGGAGATAGTTCTATCTTCTCCAACGCAGAAGTGATCCCTTCCAAGAGATTTCCTTTTTTAGCCAACAACTCCATATATTCATCATTATTTCTCGAGTCTTCTGACTGGCTTCTTCTTGAACGTCTTTGGGTAATCTGTTGAAATTCAGCTTCACAAGCAGATACTTGGTCAAACAAATCCTGTAACTCTTGCATCATGGCTGAAAACACATGGTCCAGAGATACTTCATCGGGCAACATCCCAGGTGAGGAGGTAGACAAGTCTTGAAGAGTGTTTACTTCAGACATGATCGACTGACTTTGGTTGGGTATCTATGACAAAATTATAGGAGGACTTGGTGAGATATTTAAAAATAAGAAATAATGTAGCCTAATTTAATTATAAACTTGAGTAAAATTAAATTATTTCAATAATCTAACTATTTTTTTTACCTTTAGCGCTACAGCATAGGCCTAGTGGATTACTAACGCCTTAGTGTGCCTGCCTAGTAATAAGGTTGCCTGTTTGGTCCCGAGAGATCAGCCTGTAGGTTTGAAACAACTGGATGCAGTGGTCTCTGATTATTGGGCTTTGGATAGAACCCTGCAGATTTAGTCAGTTACAATACAAAGCTGCCATCTTAAAATGCATTCTACAGCTATTCTTTGAGTTAGGCTACAAATCTTTGTCTTAAAATACACCCTGCAAAAAGAAGGCCTATGTTGGTGTCGAATAAATATTCATTTAAATTTATTTTCAGATAAAAAGAACTTTCAATTGTTTGGATTAGGTTATATAAGGATCCAAGGGGAAAAAATTGAAATTTTTTGGTATTTGTGCATCCACAAAATTAAACTTACATCCGGTCTTGTTACTGGCTGGGTAGGTGAGTGGTTACAGTGCTCACTTAACAATCAAATGGCAGTAACTTAGCTTTTCAAAACTGGACCTGGACCTAACTTAAATGAGCAGTTCCTGATCATTGGGCTTGAAATGAATGGTCCTGCCAAAAAAACGCCTGTTCTTTGTCAGAAACAAAGATACACAGACCATCTTACTACATTCTTCACTTTTTTGAATATGTGCATGTGTGTGTGTGTCGCTCTCTTCAGGTAATAATTAGGGATCAGCCTATCCAACATCAACCTCTTGGATGAGTTAGCATCAGTTATTGTTAGCCCAATGGCAAATGGCAACTGGATTGAGTTACTTTTACTTTATACTTTTCAATGAAAAGTTATGACCTTGCTTGGAGTGGAATGCTTTAGATTTGAAGGCGAGCAGTGTTTCAAGCGGTCGGGATTTAAATTGAAGTGATACAAAGTTAAAGCCAGCTATAGTTCTCTGTTCTAACTGTTATACCCACTTCAGCAAAATAGACGGACAGAACAGCGAAATGGTTCCAGAAAAAAAAGAAACACTAGGCCTCCTTACCAAATCCTAATTATAGATATGAGAACAATTCAAATGGGACCTAAGAACATCGGAGGTTATGAAAGCTATCAAATTACAAAAAATCCTTGTGGTTAGAGAAGGGACTATTGAATACGGTTCCTAGTTGATTTTAACTATCAATTGAAACTTATTGGTTACCGGTACAGAATATCTTAAACGGTAATTATATCAACCACGAATGTCTCGCTAAAATTATATTATTTCCACAATTCTTACGGTAAGATAACGTCCTGAATTGAAATGAAATGAAATGAAATGATTTATTATCCATTAGGCATGAAATGCAATAGGCATCGTCAGAACAAATAACAATATACAATTTTCATAAAAATTCAAAAATGATTGTCATTTCCCCCCCCCCCCCCCCCCCCCGAAAAGCGGAAAAACAACATTTTTGCGGAAATGGGTCACTAAAGTACTCAAATTAATCGGTACTTAGAGTGAGCTCAACAAGAATATGCAAGAATTTTTCAAGATGGATATTTACGGAGCTACAACCAGAAAAGCGCCATTTTCCCGGAAAACAATGAAAAATAATTGTATTCAAAACAATAGATTTTTGGTATCTAAACTGTGTGGCATTTTACGCTGATTGCGTTATGTTATGTTAGGTTTGGTTTAAACTTAGATTAGGTTGGGTTACCGACTAGGTACTCTTATTAACAGGAAAAGGTTAAGTTATTAATAAAATGGGTATTGTTAGTAACCTAACCCAACATAACCTAACCTAATATAATCTATCCTAACCCGACCTAATATAATTTAATTTAACCTAACCCAACCTAGAACCTTAACTTAAGTTAACTATTTTTAGTCATTTTGGCACTAACTCTATTTCCTGACGCTTTTCCGGCTCTATCTCTGTTAATATCCATCGGATCTTGGAAATTCTGTTTTTTCAAGGAAACGGTGTTTTTTCCGGAGAAAATGACGGGTACACTTCCATATCTGTTGGCACAAACAACCGAATGAGTAATATTGATTATTCTATTGTTAAATTCGATATATCGATCGATATTTTCATTCGGTTGTTTGTGCCAACAGATATGGAAATGTAGCCTACCCCTCTAACAAAACACATTTAAAGAATGGATTTGAATTAGCCTAAACAAAAAAAAAGCTTACAGACCATCTAACTTATGCCAACTAAGTAAATCTCTTTAAAACCCGAGTGGAAAAATCTGTTTAGGTATGTGTTCGAGTAGCAAAATCGGTTCAAAATAAGTAATGTTGGAATAAAATTATTCAAACTAAACACACTAATAGCAATAGGCTAGCTCATAGTGATAGGTTTTTTTTTATTCCAACGACTCTCACTTCTAGGATATTGAATAACGAATAGAAAACGCAACTATTGAATAACAAATAGTGTTCTGATTCAAACGCCCCATCAATATAGGCTAAGTTACTTCTGGTTACCAGAAATTCAATACAGCCTAAGTTATAACCTCTAGGCCTAGGCCTAACTTACATGAACAATTTCCTGACACCCATGATTCAATAATATTAACCTAAGCTAGAATTTATGTAGAAATCTTACCCCTGGTCTATTTCCTTGATAATAAGACATTGTTATTGTGAAATAGTTTCACTGAAAATATTTTAGTGTTCGAATAATAGCAAATTCTTCTAAATCCGTAGTCGTAAGAAGCGAACAGAAACCAAGGCGAAGGTAAGCAAAGCAAACGCAAACGGCTGGTTTCGCGCCTTACGGTATTTTTTTCAATATTCAATGTCGGATTGACAAAGCTTAGAGTCATGAAGCTGTCTGTAACTATCATAAAAACCTTCAACGTATATATATATATATATATATATATATATATATACCTATATATATATATATTATTATGAAATGATGATTTTATCTTTATCCACCTTAATTACATAACACATTCCAAAAAATAAAATAAATTCAATAAATGTTCAGTCCAGTCCACACATGAAAAATGTCTTGGGACTCTCTGTGGCGTCTTGATGATAGCATAGATAAAACATACTCCCTTTGATAGTTAGTTATTTGTAATTTTTGTAAAATTTTGTAATTTTTTTTATGACGAGACTGACACTGATAGCATGCTGATAGCATGTATTGTTGAATGGTCAAATAAGTTCTTGGCTGGATTACTACTAAAATATTCCCTGAAAATTTTCGGATTTATTTCCTATTTAAATAACATTATTGTTAATGAGTACCTAGGTTTGCTGCTATAGGGAAGGTATTGAGGTGTGTTTTTATTGAAATGTTGATAGCTTAGTATGAAATAAACAAAATTGCCAAATTTGATCAAAATATATCCATAAACAAGCAAACTACAACACGTACAACACTTTATTTATTCTCCATAAGAATGACACGTGAATTTCAAATTTAATTTTTTTATTATCTCCGTAACCGTAAGGCATACAACGATGCTTCAATATACAAAATTATTTTTTTAAGCTCTACAAAATGGTCTCGAAAGAAATTGTGAAATTTTCTGTTTTTACAGTAAAAAATGGGAAAAACTAATTTTTGCACCATGAAACAGACATAACATAACATGGCAGACAGGTGACACCAGTTCGTTAATTTGCGTATTATTCATTTTTATTTATGAACTGAACATAAATTTATTAAAAGATTGAAAACAAAACACATGGAATTGAAAACCAAAACAATAAAATTAAAAATGTATGTCTGTACATTTTAGGTGCCAGGTGGAGTTAATATTTTCATAGTCCAGTAACCAAACTTTCGTATTCTTAAAAAATAAACAAATACGTAGCTTCCTCCAAACAAAACAGCTGTTACAACACTACTTGCCACGTTGCCACTTGGATGGTGTGCGGCCTGGAGTTAAAGGTGGCCGTGAAAGAACCCCTTTAGTTTGTCATTGGTACAGATTTGTACAAATATGTAGTGTAGATCAGGTGTGGACTCAGTACTAACAGTGTTACTGTAGCATCATCATTGCTCATACATGGGAATAACCACGGCCACTTTTAACTCCAGACCGCGGCCTGTTAGAATTGGCAACGTCGTAAGGAGAGTTGTTTAGTGACGGACGTCCCATAAGATAACATGACAGAGCTCATTCATTCGCACTTAATTAATCAATTTAAATTTATGAACATAAATTTATTATAAAACATAGAGAATGAGAATTGAAAACCAAAACAATATACATTAAAAATCTATATCTGTACATTTTAAGTGGAGTCAATATTTTCATAGTCCAGTAAAGCTGGGTTTTCCTAGACACGGAAGCGGAAAGAGGAACGCGGAGAGTGGAAAAGAAATTAACATGGTGTTCCACTCCGCTTCTAGGAAAACATTAACATTAAATTACCTAAGACAAGTGGGGTCCGCTCTCCACTTTATACTTCCACGCCTAGGAAAACCCGACTTAACTAAGCTTTCGTAAATACACAAATACCATTAGCTGCTTCCAAACAAAACAGCTGTTACAAACCACCCTACTTGCGTTGCCACTTCGAAGGCCGCGGGCCGCGGCATGATAGAGTTCAAGGCGGCCGTGAAAAACTAATAATGGAATTGCTGCATATAATGCAATTGATAAAATAATGATAAAAAACTAAATTATTGTTGCGGTTTTATCAACCTCAAAAGTTAATATCTCTAACTATTTATATGCTACGTGTTTGTACGACCTGCTTCTACCGGGTTGACCATGCACCAGATAAAATATCAATAATTTATTTAATAAAACCTCGCCAACCTCGATTATAAACATAGATCTAACGATAATTTACCTGCATTAATCTTTATCCCATACCACACAAGCCCTAGCATTCACTAACTCAGACTTGGACGGGTTCGATTACCCGATAAAGGTCCTGCCGTGGATTCTTTTAGTGAAATAATGAAAGTTAGGGTTTAGTCGCTAAAAACTCTGAATAACAGTAAACATTATTTAGTGAATGTATTATCTGTAAACTCCAGGAACTTCGCCACCCTTTTTTCCACTCTAACGCAAAATCACTAACACCTACGTCACTCGAAGGGTCGGTCAGATCAGACCAGAATGCCCCTCTCATCCCTAGCGCATGATAATTTTGAAATAACTATCAAAATTATGGGTAAATCTGGGCCTACCTGGCCTATTCTCTGTAGCCGTCCCTACAGAGCTATTTCCATTACCAAGACTGGTTTACCATCACCTTCCTCAGGTAAGGGATAAATGAGCATACTGATAAATTACTTAACTACATAATCCTACCCCCTTATAATTTTGACCCATTACAACTTAAACACATGAGAAGTATCGGATTAGGCTTACAGTCTATTGCTGATTAACAAAAATTACATTTGATCGTAAACGTTTATCTGTTTAGATATTGTGTTCAAATTTACTGTTATAGTTTGTTTTTAAACCATTCAATATAATGGTGAGTGTTCCCAGACTGGAAAACGAGCAACTACACCAACTACCGTGTGTGAATAAATTTAAACAAAATAAAATAAAGAAAACAGATAATAGAAGTTAAAAACTTATACTGTTAATATGTAAGGTACAGAGGAGGTTCAATTTGGTGCACTTAAGTATTTTTTTGCACTAGTCGCTGGTGTCTAGGGCAAAGTCCAAGCCGTTGCTTCTCCTAACCTCCCTTTTCCACTCTATTCGCCATCACGTACCTTGCTCACACTGGGGGAAGACCCTGTTCTCTGTGGGATAGGAACTTCCGCACGGTGCTCACCACTCGTGCTCTTCCTTTCTCTCACAGGTATATTTCCCCAACTATATGCACAACATAGGCCTACTAGAGCTGAAAGCACACGGTCCATCCCAAGTTTCCTTTGTACCTCATTTCTGTGTGTTAAATCTGCTCTTCTTATTCAGAAACTGATCAAGAAACAGTTATTATTTCTAGTATGTATAATTCTCCTTTTTTTTATGAAATAAGGTATACTAAGGTAAGGTTTTTTAATGAATCAGTGTATACTGGGAAGTATTCAAAACAGTTATTCCAACATCATAAGTGAAAAAAGTCAACAACGGAAATCAAGTCCAACATTACAAAGGAGAAACATTTTATTAACCAAAGCAGTGCGCGAGGCACTAACTTTTGTTATAACTAACGACATTTGGAAGATACCCTCTGAACAGTCTCACAATTGAACAATAATTGAGTCCTAAAACAAAACTACGTAGAAAAATAACTACAAATTAACAACTATAACATGTACTGAGCTTAGTCATTTTTCCCTTAAACGAAGACTGTTTACTAAACTTAAAGGATTCACTTCTCCCATGCTATGTAAAACTATGAAAAATTGGTAAAAAGTACATTTTGATTAAGCGTTGGTCCAAATCTTTAAACACAAATGTATTTTTGTTTAAAGTACGTAGTTGTCTGTTTTTAAATATTATCCAACATACAAACATATAACCTAAGGATAACTATATCCAGCCTCATTTAAAGGAAAATCGATTCTCACAAAATACATAACTGCAACAAAAAAACTAATCTCGAGTTAAAATCAATCTAGAAATCTATATCAGTATGAAAAGTACAAGAATCAAGAGCACACATAGGTAGACAAGATGTTCAGTTCTTAGGCTAATCATTTAAACAATTATTGCATGTTCAATATACCAACTGTTTACATAATTACATATTTCAACATTAAGTATAAAGAGTCAGTTCATATACTTATATTCGAGTTTGAGCTAGAATAACATAGCACTAGGTAGGGGCGTCTGTACAACTTATTCTACATGATATGCACGGGGCCTAGACTATCAGGCATTGGACAATTCACAAATGGACATCAAAACAGATGTACTCAGTCAAACCTTAGATTGATCAGTGGCATTTGATGGCTCGTGTCTTATTAGTTGATTGTGTAAACCAAATGGAATACTTGGTGCATGACCACATTTTGTTGATTAAGAGTAAAAAAAAAAAACAATAATGCAACAATTATAGTGAGCCTAATACGATTTAAAACAAAACACAATTTAATGCATGGTACCGGTTCTAGAAATGAAATTGTATGTTAAGAGACTCATTTCAAAACAAGTTTTACTAATAAAAATATTCCATTGCCAGTGTGTGTTAAGTGTACGTTACTATTTTCAAGACTCGATGAGGCAGCTCTTGATTCAATAATTGAGTTTCAAGTAAGTTAAGATGTATACAAATAAAGTGTTCTTAGAGGGGGTTTTCTCAAAAAATTAATCCGATAATACCCACTCTCTTGTAGCTAAAATATTAGGACTGAACGCTTAAATTAGTAAATTGAAAAAAAACTTTGATGAAATTCTAGATTTTTTTGAAAATTTAATATGTGGATAAGATAAAATAATAAGTTCCGATGAGCATGTGTAAGGAAATCATAATATATGTTCCCTCAGCTAAAAATACAATTTTTATACCATATTTTGATTTTTAAATCCCTTTTTAATTTAAAACAAGTATTTGTTTCAAACATCTTGTGTTAAGTACCTTAGTGAAAATAAGACCTAGAAAATTGTTAGTGAAAGTTAAGTAACAAAACTCTAAATTATCCAGTATAATAATCAGGTTGGTAATGCATAAATTCTTGAATTCTTCCAAAAGAAATTAAAATGTTTTAAACTTAGATATTTTACATTGTTGTTTATACATAACTTTTCTCTTTCATAATTATTTTTGGCTGCAATTTGTTTGCTGGGTAGTAACTTTCTGTAATTAAAATTAACATCTCTAAAAATACTAAATTTTGATTAATTTTAAAATAACAAAACATTTTTGGATGTAAATAATATGCATACATTATTTTAGTGGCTTAAAAAACAGGTTTATATAAAGATACCATCAAGATCAATGAGAAACATCACAAGAAATGTAACATATATCTTAAATGTTACCTAGTAGTTGTGATTCTAATCTACAATCAAGATTTGACTGAGTGTTTGATAAGCAGCATATACTCTTCATTCACAATTAAAGCTTGTGCTAAGGTAATGGTCAACACGAAAGTTGTCTGTACATAAAACAATAAAACCACTTTATCCCTATAAAAATGTAAAAATGTTTCCATTAACCCTATTTGTTGCGCTGTGTCATTTTATAACTACATACCAGATTCAACTGTCTAACTTATGCAATAATTTCCTAAGTCAACATTGAAAGCTAAGAAATAAAAGTCTGCACTTCAGTTGTAGTAGAGTTAATACCAAAATGGTTTAGAAAAAAATCACTGTTTGAAAAAAAATCTTCTATTCAGTTGGGAGGTTTAATACATGAGTATTTCTTAAAGTTTGGTTAGGAGCATTTTAATTTTGGGCACAGGTGTTTAGCAGTTACTAATTAGTAAAAAGTAGTAAAAAAGATGAGACAGAGATTGATCAATGAAAATTTTTAATTTAAGTTTTTACAAAATGATTGTAAGCATTTGGTCCGAGAACACATATTGAGCAAGTCTACTGTAGTTTGGAAAAACATTATCTATGGAACATTATGGTGTATTATATCATAGATAAAAAGAATCAAATAAATATGGACCGACAGCAGTTCTGCGGTTATCATATGTTCTGGTGTCCACCGCTAGGAGTGCTGTTTAGTTACGGGGCACACCGCTGCAGTGTCTGCTGGTTGCATATGGCAAGGAGCTGACGACGGCAGTGAATCGAACACTGAGCACGCTCCAGCAGCACATCGCGGAACCTTCCTTTGACAGTCTATATTTATTCTATTTGTCTATGATTTTATTGTATTTAAATGTGTGTATATTAATACAAATTCACACACACTCATTCTTTTGTTAATTGTTAATATATACAGCTGTAAGATGGTTGTGTGTAAATCGGGTTTAGTTAAAAAGTACAAACAAGTAAAAGATTTTGAGATTTTTAAAGTTTTATTTGGCATTTTTGAAGGGATGATGAGTGAAATGAGGTTTGTGTAGTTTTAATTTTTTAAGCACAGTTTTAGTTGTTTATTTTTATTTTTTAACATTATAAATTATTTGAATGTTTTAATTGTCAAAAGAATAACTAACTGGTGCTTTTTGTGGTATTTTTAATAACATTTTGAATTTTGTAACTAAAAATAATACCTATCTTCACTTGCAGTAAAATAATCAAATAAGAAAACAAAACAAACTAAAAGGGTAAAAACAAAACAAAACTAAAATTTGTGCAACATTTTTTATTAATCGTATCATCAAAAGCTGTAAATAACCCCTTAACTCTATACGTAGGTCGTCACTAACTTACAAATTGGCTAACAATATCGAACAATATATTATGTCATTTACAATGTAAATATTAATTAAAACTTATCGAGGATATGACGAGCGTTATTGACAGATATGTAGAATGAAATGTGTAAGATGCAAGGAAGCGATTGGTCGGTCGAGGCATGTTGTGCGATCTCATTGGCTGCTGGAGTCGCTCGCAGACGCTCGGTCATCGTCCGTCATCACCGTCACTAACTCCGACACAGCTTTACCAAGGTCTCCTATTCAACAATACACAGGCTTAATTAGTTTGTTAAAATACCTTATTTCGTTGATTCCTGCAAATCAATACTGGTTCAGAAAGATTAATTATTTTTTACAAACTTAATATAATTTATTATCAGGTTTAAGTTACTCAGGCCACTTGGACAAAATATCACAAAAGAAACAGCTTGCTATTAAACCTTAAACATTTAGTATAATAAACTGAACTTTATGCTAATTTTTCACATACAGTATCCCACAAAATCCAGTCATTTAAAATTAAAAAATAAACAAACTATTTTTTGTTATGTAAAATGACAATCAATCAGGCAAATCCATTACCAAGATGATGTAAAATATAAACGATGTAGGTACAATTTTCATACAAATAAATACACAATTCTAATTGAATTGCAAAGTAAGGGATACTCTCAACAAGAACACATTAATAATATTCAAAGTATTAGAGCCTTTTGCAATAAAATACTGTAGTGTTTGTTTGAATAATATTTTTTTACTGATAAAATAAATAATAGCACCTCAATTTGCAATCTCAATAATAGCACCTTTATGCAATCTCAAACTAGATGTAAGGATTTATATAAATTTATATAAAATTAAAATAGTTTGTTACCATTTAAATTACAGGTATTTTTTCAAACCATTTGTTGTTATAAAAAATTGGTCGTAATAAAATGGTTTTCTCAAATTAATGAATAAAAGATCAACTATCTATATTTCCAAAAATACATGAAAAGGGTGTTAAAACCAACATTTGAATGACACTCTAAAGCACCAACCTACCAGTTTATATTCTCCCAGCTGTTGCATGAAAAATAATAATGTGTTAGAGAAGCATACACGTAAAACATAAGTCTAACATGACTATTATTTTAGCGAATTTCCCATATAGGGAATAAGCTATTACCGTAGTACTCATGGTAAGACCTGGACCCGGGACCGATTTTTTTTTTCGTTTTGAGGTCCCTAGAGGCCAAAAACACCATCCGTTCAAATTCATATATATATATATATATATGTGTCCGTTAGCGCGATAACTCGAGCAAAAATGATCCGATTTTGATTAAATTTGGTACAAACATGTAAACCTACGTTTATTCGAACGAGTTTGCGAACCAGCATGATCAGACCATGGGAACGGGGGTTTATGGGGGGTTTTATGGGGTAAAAATGGGTTTTTCCCATTTTTGACCCAAAAAACATCAAATTTTGCAATTTATTTCTAAACTATTTTGTAGAGCTTAAAAAAACAAATAATTTAGTATATTGAAGCGTTATAATGCGCCTAATGGTTACGGAGAAAATTAAAAAAAAATGCAAATTTAAAATTCCCATGTTATTCTTATAGAGAATAAGTAAACTGTTGTAGTTTGCTTGTTTATTAACATATTTTGCCCAAATTTGGAACATGTTTTTATTTCTTACTAACAATTAACATTTTACATAAAAAAAACACTTTTACCCTCCCTGTTGCAGCAAACCTAAGTGTGTTAAACTGATTCTATTTAAATAGGGATAAATGTGATATTTTTAAGGAGACATTTTAGTGTAAATCCAATCAGGCAAATGGAAATTCGCTTAGTCTGCAGGTTTGCTGCGGCGGGGGTATTTAAACATGTAAATATTGGTAAGGTCAAATGTAGTGTGTAGAAAACTCTAAACTTGGTGCACCAAACACTTGTACCTAAAATATATTTTATAATTTTGATATAAATGGTAAATTCATATAGTCAACATGATATGAGTAAGTACAGAGTAGGAAGAAAAAGTTTTAATTAGGACCAAATTGCAGGCTCATTAATTACTTAGATTTCATTACAGTAGTAGAATAGACAGTAGACATTATTATGTGTTGTTTATTTTCCAATAAATACAATTGATTTAGGATGAGTAGTTTTCTATAAATTATGAAAATACTTAACCAACAGCATTTACTTTTTATAAATGACACAAAGCTTTCAGAACAGCAAAACAAACAAAACTTATTTTACAAGTATGATGGAAATACCATACTGTATTCTTAACTATAAAATTATGAATCCACCATGTAAATGGGCAATCAATATCAGCAAATATCAGTCAATAAAAATATTCAAAATACAAGGTGAACTTCACAAACCAATCAATCACAAGATCAATGACACAAGCCATGGAGGAGCGACCGACATACTCAATAAGCCGTGCACCACACAACAAGCAAAGCAAATAAACTACTCGGCAAAATATATTTAGTAGGACTCCAGAGTTTAAGCGGTTGAGCAAGCACTGATCAAACTAAACTACAGTAATGAACAACATAGCTGGACTTTAAATCACTCGCCCAAACAATACTGATACTCACTCTCACAAAAATTACTCAGAATTACTAGCCCAAACATTACTAGAATCACTCACCCAAATATTACATGGAATCACTCTCACAAACATTACTCCAGCATTGCTAGCCCAAACATTACTAGAATCACTCCCACAAATATTACACAGAATCACTCTCTCAAAAATTACTCAGAATTACTAGCCCAAACATTACTAGAATCACTCACCCAAATATTACATGGAATCACTCTCACAAACATTACTCCAGCATTGCTAGCCCAAACATTACTAGAATCACTCCCACAAATATTACACAGAATCACTCTCTCAAAAATTACTCAGAATTACTAGCCCAAACATTACTAGAATCACTCAACCAAATATTACATGGAATCACTCTCACAAACATTACTCAGCATTGCTAGCCAAAACATTACTAGAATCACTCCCACAAATATTACACAGAATCACTCTCACAAAAATTACTCAGAATTACTAGCCCAAACATTACTAGAATCACTCCCACAAATATTACACAGAATCACTCTCACAAAAATTAATCAGAATTACTAGCCCAAACGTTACTAGAATCACTCACCGAAATATTACATGGTATTACTTTTAAACATTACTCAGCATCGACAGCCTAAACACATTACTTAACTAGCATCACTCGCCCAAAAAATTACGCTCAAACATTACACAGAATTGACAGGATCACTCTTACAAACAAACATTACTCAGAATTACTTTCTCAATGTTACTCAACATCACTCGCCCAAAAATAACACAGATTCAATCTGCCAAACATTACTCAATAATTATTCGTCAAAGCTACGCAACATTACACACAGCACACTACAAGCCATGCTGCAGACCTGCCATGTGATGTAGATGGCCTAGGTTGTTGTGAGACGCACTGACAGGTGGCGGTGGCGGCCGATCTAGACTGCCTCTCTCACTCCACCCTCGCCCTCCTGGCCAACATAACCTAACTGTCACCACCCACACCCATACACCTACCCTAGATTGGCAAGGCTTACAAAAACCATATACTGTTGGTAGTTTGGAAGGTTCTCACTGTTTAAAACATTATTCTGACTAGATTAGATTTATATGATACTTACACCCTAGGGTGTTTATTTATTCAAATACAACTCTGTTGTGACAATGAGAGAAAGATGAATGTTCAAAGAATTATATGATAGCTAACTGAATCTGACTAAGATATGGTTCATTATGATCAAGAACAGCTGGGGCCCAAGAAAAGGGCTTTTCTCATGATTGTAGCGGCAATTTTTGGTCACTAGGCAAGCACTCAGTTACCCAGCTTTGTGAAACCATCAAAGACTAAATTTCTAACAGTATTGTTGTGTATATAATTCATAATTCAAAAATATTTACTGAACTGCATCCAAGACTCGGCCTTTACCAATCTAGAGTTTAAGACCTTTAAAGTTTTGTCAGTGTGATGACCATTTGCTTCACGGACTCTAAGAAACTCTATACAAACACTAACAGACAAAACTGTATCAGGTGGAACTGAAATCATGCATTGCAACCCCTGGACCAACTGATTCAGTCGTGTCTTTATAAAATATCCAATACAGTCTAGGGAGTTTGGAATCAATTCTTAAAGCTAGAAAATGTTGACTTGATCGATCAGATTTATTTTTTGTGATGTAAAATTCTGGTACATTACTAAACAATTTAAAAAAAATTAAAATTGTGTGTACACTGTACAGACAACATTTTTTGAAGGTTGTTATGTGTCTTAGCCACAAAAAAAGTGATGTTTTAGCTATAATGCTTTAAAAACATGTTTATGAAATTTTTCATGAACTTTACTAACATAACAAGGCACCACCAAAAGATTTTAGTAAATTCACGCATTATTTAGTAGCCATGTTTGGTTTTATTTTCTAAAACCATATAAAAATAAATAACTATCTCTAAAATCTTGTCATAATCAAAATTTATACAAATGTACACTTTTAATCAATAACATAACATAGTATTACTATTTCTTACAATTTTTGTTATATATTTTTTACAGTTATTCATTTTTACAATGTTATTCCCATTATATTTCACTGTACAAGTTATTTACAGAAAATAAGTGCAAAATGTACAATAATTGTATCTAACTGATGATGTCTAACAAAAAGACTATAAGTGCCTCATGTGCAACTAATAAAATGCATGGACCATTCTTGACAAATAATGACAGTTTTTTTTCACTTCTCCCAATTCCATTAACCTTCATTCTTTGTTATCCCGTTATAGAAAGACAGTATTTAAAATGACGGTAGAGTAACGAATGATAAAATCCTGTTTTTCCCAACTAGTGTAGGAACATATTTTTTTAGTGTGATAAGGTGGTTTACCTGGATGATCCGTGTAATGTCCGTTCATCTTGGCCGGTGAGTCTGTGGCTAACTGAGACGCCGTGACGGACCGAGTCTGCAGCGTACCAGTCTTGACCGGCGATCCACTGGCGTTCGGCTGCGGAAGAACAAAACACAATTAATTTCATGTCTTAAACATTGACATTAGTTCTGAGTTTGCTCTTCAGATTTGTACATAAATGAAACTGCAATTGCTTTAGATGAAAGGTAGAAGGCAAGTACTTTGTCTGAAAGCAACTGACTGTTTGCTCAAGCTATGTCAACTCCGCTAAATTTATCTGCTTCATAAAAATCAAAGCACGACGAGTTGTGGAATCTTGGAATTTCATCGAGGAATGTGTGTACTTTGGATAACAAAATATAGTGTGGCAAAGTTGCAACATTGCCTTAAACTTCAACTCCAGGATGTATATGAAAAAGGAGGGACACAAATATACTGTTTTTAAATGAAAGAAAGCTTAAAATGTGTCTACTCTGCCTCACCTCATCCAACAGCTGTCTTAGTCTCTGCAGTTGAGCCTCCAGTTGTCTGTTGTGGTCCTCCAGGATCTGCATGCGAGCCTCTAGTCGCCCCTTGTGTTGCCGGAGCAGTCTCGCCTCCGTCGCCATGTCTGGGGCGTCTCCGCCTCGCAGCTCCTCTGGTGTCGACTCCGGAGTCGCCTTGCTGGAGCTGCGGAGTCGCTCGTACTCCGCTTGCAGGTTGGCGTTCTCCTCCTCCAACTCTCTGTGGGGACGGAGACCGGTAGTATCAGACCATACAGTAATCCCCTCTCAGTCAATAGGGAGTGTTGATTGAGTTTAGGGTCTTTGTTATAAAAAGAAATGGCCACAAAAATTTGAAAAGTTTGTACAGTTTTCCCTTATAAGCAATAATGATTCTTTCTTCATCACACCACTGTCATAGAGGGTAAAAAACAAATTGATGGTTGTATGAAAATGTTGTGTTACTTGTACTTCATCACATTTTTAAAGGTTACAAATAAACCAAATTACAAAAATATTTATTTATAAAAGCAAATTTGCTGAACCAAAGACAATTTTTGAAACCTACAAAATGTGAATGTATGATGTATAAATATAAAATGATTATAAACCATTGAGAAATTCAATGAAAGCAAAATACTAAAGTATTCAGCGGCAATCTTCTACATTACCCGTATAATATTAATTTTTTTAAATTCAAACGCAGCATACATTTATTTTTCACAGTTGCTTTACCTGATCATTGCCTCAAGTTCTTCTCTCTGTTCCTGGTCTATGGCCACCATAACTTGTACGGGACTGCGAGGCACAGTAACACCATCACCTCCGTTGAGTGACTGGCAATACTGCGCTATCAGCTGGTGCTCGTCTTCCCTGCAACAGAACACAAATTGTGATGAATTCCATTCGATGTTTGTAAATAGTACTGGGTCAAAGCTTGACTATTAAAAGACCGAGACATCCCTCATGTTAAAGTTGTCACCAGTTTTAAATTCAAAATGAACATGGATTGAGCAACCGACAAAGTGTTGGTGAAAAATTACAAATTTTTGTCAAAATCACCAACCTTTTAACCACATTGAACATATAGACAAATTTGTAAAAGCTACAGCATCTTTTACACATAAATTATCTCAGAAACAAAAACTGGTAGAGAAGAGAGGATTTAACACTTTAGAGCAATCTGTCTATGCTCTTTTGAATAAAAACAAAAGGCTACAGCTGGTCCATTAGATGGGTTGTCTACTTCAGTGACCAAAAGTCAATAGTATCAAAGTTAACATACAAGTATAATGAGGTTTTCCCAATATAGAAATGTCTATGACACAGTCAGCAGGTAAACCTTGAATGAACTGATAACCATTCAAACTGATAACTTACGAGTCAGGAGTTGAGTTTGTGCGAGTTCTGAGTTCGACCTCGGCCAGACGAGAGGCGTACATCTCCAGGCGAGAGTGCATGTCGGGGGCGAGTGTGGAGTGCTGCGGAGACGGTGCCGGGCTCTCTAGAGCGTCTCCCTCCAACACTGTCTGCACAGGCAGGTAGCCCATACGAGGGTGCTTCTTGAAGTATCGCTTAGATTTGAACTTGTTGCGTAACGCTCGAGTGAAGTCCCTCACATCTTCACCTGATGTTGTCTGTGAAAAGTGTTCGCTCGATTAATATTTGTTGTGCGGACTAATCAAAAAATTTGGTTATCAAAGTTTATGTAGTTTGATGTGTTTAGGAAGCTATTTTCTGTAGTATTGATAAATCCAGTTTCCAGCAGTAGCTGGTTTTCTGTCACATGAATGTTGAAAATTACAGAAATTTTAAAATGTTTTCCTAAGAAAATCCTGGTTCTAGCCCTGGTCTTGTGACTATCTAATGTTAACTTTTTGTTAGATAGCACCAATTATTGGTAGCCCAATGACAGTTTGCTTCTTGGGAAACTATTTCACAAAGTTCTTAAAAGAAGAATTAGATGAGAGTACTGTAAAAATGAAGATTTATTAAGGGTAATCACATTATTTCAATAGATAGCCCTTTTATCGAGGGCACTTCTTAAAACAACTTTTTAATTGTCTCTATACTTACAGCAGTGCAATACTCCTGCATGGGATGTGTCAACTTGTGGTTCTTTGCTTTTCGTCCAGAGAAGAAACAGTTTTGACACATGTCAAAGTTGAAACACTTCAAGCAACGATACCTGTAACACAGAATTGAGTTGATTGATTGTGTTTATAATTCCTAACACTATATACTATGGCAGTGTGAAAGCTGTATACCATGCTTATGAAAGCTAATCTATTTGTTGAAAATAAATTTTAAAAAGAAAACTAACTCGACAAGTCTTGATTAAAGATAACCCAACGGGACTTTTTACATATTGCTAAACATGGAGGGAAATTTAAATTTTAAACATAAATGATAAAATTATATTTTCATATATTTTTTATTATCATAACCTAATAGAAAACTAGGTCTACCTGAATCCGACAATGGGATATTCCTTGCAGATGTTGCACTTGGCCTGGTGTTTGGCAGTCTCTGCTGCGGACAGTCTATGCAGCACTGGCAGCCAGACCATGCTCTGCGGTTCTTGCTGCAGCCAGTTGAGGAAATGCACAGCCTGCAGACACAGATGATGGTGCATTTTAGAAATATTTTTCTAGTAATGACAAAGAGGGACAAATATCACAGATAGTTAACCAGATATCCTAAATTATATAGAAAATAGATACATGTTCAAACCATTTTGGGATACTTAGTTATTAATAAACTACAATTTTACCATGGTCTTGAATTAGAACACATAAAAATAAGTACCTATTATGATTTTCAAAAGTAATACGTAGGAAAGAAACCCATTTTTTTGGTACTGCACTTTGACCACACTACTTGACACATCTGCTTTGACTACTTGTTGAGAAATAGTTTCCACAAACCTCAATTGTGTTACTGTCTTTCCCAGCTTTCTCAAAGCAAGATCTCACAGATGGCTCAATATTGGAGCCACCGAAGGCCGCAACCTCTCCCAGCTGACGAGGAACTTGTATACAGTCGTGCAGCAGCAGACCGAGCTTGCGCTGATCCACGAGTCGGTTGGGGTCAGCAATCAGTCGGAACAGATCTGCACATAGCCGATGTCAGATATGTGATATGGAAATGCTTTGTTCAGAACACTGAGGGAATTTATTAAAATCATATTTTCACTTGTGATTCAACCAAAATCAATGGAATTCCAACACACAAAAAATAGAGACATCCAATAGGTCTGTGGTTCAATTTAGGCAATCTAACTTTTGAAGGCATTTCCTCTTGATAGATTTAATTTTCTGGCCAAATTTATTACTTTCTAGTTATTAAAGTGGGAACTCATGTATTATCCAACACAAAACGGTGACTTCCATTCTGTGTCTTGCCTACCATTATTCCAAGACAAAAACTGTTTTCCTTGAGAGCTTTCATGTTTTATGTTTTATTCAGGGGAACAGCTGGACATCAACCAATTCAGAAACTTAGGTATTTATTTCATGTAACGATCCAATGTGCATTTTGAAATAAATTTAACAAATCCAACCACAGATAAATTACGTTGGTGTCAACTGTAAAGCAGATATGGTTTACGACTTACATCTGTATTTCTCCTCCAAGTGGCCTTTACAGAGCAGCACCAGGCCCACTTTGAAGGACAACACTCGAACTTGTCCCGTACGTTGGCTGCAACAAGAAAAATAATTTACAGTTGAATAGCTTGTTGAGTACTTCCCGGAGTATTTTAGAATATATTCTTGCTAGCAAAGAAATGAAGCTGTAATTTATTTACAAAATATTGTATTAAAAAAAAAACTTGTTATGATTTCTCTCTGACCTGTCGTAGACATTGAGCAGCCAGTTGACGGCCAAGTCGAGACAGAGAGGCACGTTGACGAGTGACGGGTTCTCCGCAGCAAGCAGTTCGTAGACGCTAGCTAGCACGGTGACCATGTCCGTGACATCGAGCAGCTTGTCGTTCTGTGCCCGCAGTCCGTGGCTGTCGAACGTCTCAATAGCACGGTTCAGGGTCAGCAGATCAACTGTTAAACAACAAAAAGAACATGTTAGAACAGTATGAAAACGTTGTACTCAACAACATATACAATGTACCAATGTACCTAACAATGTCTAAGTATGATGGTTGGAAGTTAAGTCAATAATGGCGGCAGATTTCCCCAAAGAATATTCGACTAGTCTACAAGACTCAAGCTATGTGTAGTTTTAATAGCTTATCATCTTGGATTTTTATTCTTAATCACTTGCAGTTATTTTTCATTTGACGCTTGAGTACCGCATTTGAAGATGAGTATTTTCAGTGTTTTAGTTAATGGAAGCAGTTTATGATAGCCAGCTGATAGAAATGAAGTGGGATAAACAAATGAAAGAATCTCCCTGTTTTAGCGAATTTCCCTATAGGGAAGTAGCTATTACCGTAGGTCTCATGGTAAGACCTAGGCCCGGGACCGATTTACTTTTTCATTTTGATGTCCCCAGAGGCCAAAAACACCATTCATTCAAATTTTTATATATCTATATATATATATATATATATATATATGTGTCCATCCGCACGATAACTTGAGTAATTTTTGTCCGATTTTGATAAAATTTGGTTTGAAGGTGTAAGGCGGGATAAACTTGAATGAGTTCGCGAACCAGCATGATCGGACTATGGGAACGGGGGTTTGTGGGGGGTTTTATGGTGTAAAAATAGTTTTTTCACATTTTAGACCCTAAAAACACAAAATTTCACAATTTCTTTCTAAACCATTTTGTAGAGCTTAAAGAAACAAATAATTTAGTATATTGAAGCGTTATTATGCGCCTAATTGTTACGGATAAAATTCAAAAAAATTGTAATTTTAAAATTCCCATGTTATTCTTATGGAGAATAAGTCAACTGTTGTAGTTTGCTTGTCTATGAACATATTTTGATAAAATTTGGAAAATGCATTAATTTCTTACTAAACTACAGTACCTTTTAACATTTTACATTAAAAAAAACTTTTTTACCCTCCCTATTGCAGCAAACCTAAGTACTCGTTAAACTAATTCTGTTTAGATAAGGCAAATGGAAAATACCCCCACCGCAGCAAACCTGCAGACTTTTTTCTAGTGTATTAGGTAGGCCAACCGTTTACACATAAAAAATGAAACTGAAATTAATACAATGGAAAGGAGTCAATCCTAGCAGATATAATATTCTAAGTTTTTTTTTATTCCAAGTAATTAATGAAAACTTACGGCACATTCGCTTTTGGACTGTGCGAAGTTTCATTGCTGTCCTGTAAGCAGAAAATCTAACTTCGTTGAATTCGGTGAGAGAGTTCATCAAGTCCATCATCTTGGGATGGTCCCAGTGAGTTGTCTCTAGCTGGTGACTGGAAACAGAAGGACTCATCACAACACTAACAAAACACACTGATGGCTCATTAACGAACAAACACAGCCTAGCAGAATCCACAACTACCAAGCATAAACATTTCATAGACAAATTTACAGCAGTAATCAGACGAGTCAAGTACTTAATAACTCGTTAGGTAAGGAGTCAAATGGTATATTAAGTTGACACGATACTTTTCGACGATACTCAAGTAGTGGACTCGGTCCTTGGTTTATGAATTTGTCACTAAACAATTCTTTGTGCTCCAGGCAGGTTAATGTGATACTTGGGCATATTTTCTTAGAATCACCATTACGTGTCTACAGAATCTATTTACGAGTGTACAGTGTTCAGAGTGTGTATGGACTCGAGTCTGTAGTTCTTCGAGTAGCCACTAAGTCAACACAGCACCATGGACAAGTTACTCGACTATTGTCTTCAGTATAAGCAGAATCGAGAAAACTTTGCTCAAGTTGGAAAATACAACTAATTTACAGTTACGTAAATCAACTGACTTGATGTAGTAAGGCACTCTGTTCTGGGTGATGGCCCGTTCCCAGGGATGGTCTACGGAGGCGGAGAGGAAGTTCTGGTTGGGAGGAGAGCCGTCTTTTCCTAAGTCTCTCAGCTGTTTGTACCTCTCGTCTACGCCCACTTGCAGCAGCTTCCATCTGATGAAATATGCACCAAATTAATTTTTATTATTTCCACCCAAATTGGTCTAACTATGACGAGTTAGTTTGTCACACAAAATTCCTGGACCAAACTAGCTTAAATTTTGCACAATATAGATATTGAACCGAGGATTAAGCTAAGACAGTTCAATTTGAAAATCAACTTTGAAAGGTATAAGATGGAGCTTTGGGAACATATTGGTTGTGGTTGGATTCAAGGAAGGAAAATAATTACAATGTTTGAAGTTCCTCCTTGTTCTTTAAATGCCTTTGATTCTAGAGTTTATAAGATTTTCTAACATATAAAAAAATATAATACATATTCTATTAAACCAAGTAATGTATTTTAAATATCTGGAGATACAAATGATTATAGAAAAGTCATGTTTAGGCCTATTTCCAGATGGAAGGGACAGGCGTAAATGCTACAGAACACTGGAAAGTGCTGCAAAATCAAAATCTATCTGGGGACGAGTTAAATATTGGTGAAAGAACAACCACTTGCCTATCTTCGTTTTTTCCGGTTGTAAAAGACAAAGACCATAGATGAAGCTTCGCTTCTAGTAAAACATGCAATTAAATTTTCAATTTTTGAAATACGAATTTGATAGAAATAATAATTTTTATAAACCACAAAAATCAGCCGACCTGGTGTTGAGGTCCTGCAGCTTGTTCAGGTTGGCAGGCGACACCAGGACGTTGTTTGAGTTAAACATGGCTGCTTGGTCGTTCACTTCGTCCAGCGTACGCTGCAGTGGACCCATCCGCTCTCCTAGTTTCTGAAACATCCGGAGTCGTCAGAAGAATAAAATTGAATCAAAACACAGTTTACACATTGTGACAATGCCACAGGAGTTACAATAAAGTGGTTGAAAGAAATTTGTAATTTTTGATGCAGTATGGACTACATCAGATCAGATAATAGGTAGATTAGATCAAGCACATTACAAAGGTGAATAATTGCTACAGTGTAGAAGATAGGTCTACTATAGGTTATGATACAGACACAATACATTATTTTTACATCTCCGGCACAATTTTAGATCCGTACCACTATCTAACAAAATCTCAACCCAATGACATATAACAACTTTCCTTCTTTTCTGCAAGTTGGATATTTATCCTCTAAATAAATGTTTATTTCAGACTTTTAGATACTGAATCTATACTAGCTGTAGCTATTTTTTTATAAAAGAGAAAAACATTTTATACTTTGTATGTAAACTGTCAGTTAAAGCAGAATACCTGCAGGTCCTCGAGCAGTTCAGGTACTTGAGAGATCTCCGTAGGGTTGATCCATCCACTCCGGGTGTTCTCTATTGACGAGAGGCGGACTGAGGCATCATCCATGTTCTTCTGGAATACTCGCATCTTCTGTAACAGAAATTGTAACTGGTTAAACTATTAGTTTGGTAGTTAGATAAATGGAGAGAGTTGGAGCCACAGAATTTAGTGCATTTTTGTTGGCACATCTATTTATCACCATTGACGGCCCTGAGATTAAATAAGTAAGGTAAATCTTTCAAGTATACAAATTAACCAGTAGACAAACAGTACACGGGTAGTGATAGTTTTTTTATTTTAACTGATTAGTTAGTGAGGTGTATTGATAAATTTGCAAATTTTAGTTGTGTGATTGTTTTTTGATGGTTATAAAAAATTGAATTTTTTAAAGGATCTTAATGAAGTGTAGAAGAGTCATGAGAATATAATGTATAGACTATAGAGTGTAACCCCATGATATGTTCATAATTGCTGGAGTTTTGTGGAGTCGACATTCATACTAAGCAAATGGAAAATAGTAATGTGAATATTTGGTCCAATATAAAAAAGAAAATAACAAAAATACTGAAAAATAGCTAAAGGAAGTACCAAGAGACAAATGATTCAAATGCTATTAATGTATGAAAATAAAATCTATTCTATGTATAATTCAGTTTTAAAAATACTAAATAAAATGTGCTGTAGGATACTAAAAGTGAGTACATAGTTGAGCATTTGACCAAAAATGAAAGAACACTTTAAAACTGAATAAATCATACAAAAAATTTAATAGTTTAATGAGCTTACACAATACCGCAAGTATTTTGATTGCAAGCGAATAATTTCAATGGAAAAGTAAATAGAGTTCATATTAGGTACTGAAAATAAAACACTCACTAATCTTTTTCACTCATTTATAAAAAAATGGAAATTTATACAAAATAGAACTGCATTTTGGAACTAATCCTGAATGTGTGTATACGAAAATGAATGAAAGAGCCAGAAGGCTTTCTGGAAATAACACAGAGGAAAGCTTTTTGTGATTGGAACATAAAACAATGACAAAAATAGGAACAATAGCCACAATGTCCAATGGCATGGTCCCGATTAGGTGCAGTGGGAGGGGGGGGGGGGGGTGGGGGTGGTATTGTTGTACTCATAAAACTTTGGTCCAGACATAAAACTGGGAAAGAACTGTTTGTAACAGTGGCTACTTCTATATCTCTCTTCAACTCTCATACAACCATTGTAAACCCATTGCTTACTGATCCAGCGTAAATTGAACTACAGATAGTTTTTTTTACACTTGTGTGTTTCTTTAATAAATTATTTGGGATTATGAGAGGACCAGTGGCGATGTAGAATATTTTTTTTGGGGGGGCCGAGATTAATTTAAGGTTAGGGCAAGTAATTCCAAGTAGACACACAATTATACTTTATCTCAGTTTTGCTGCGGTAATTTGCGCTAAATCTGACATTTACTTTATTAAGATCACGCTGCATCCTCCCATTAAATAATAAAAATGTATCTATTCGAGCCAAATGGAGAAAATATCTCAATTACTAAATCTAAAAACATTGGTCAAGATTCAACAGTGTGTCATCCCATCTGTAAACACTTGTCCGAACCTAAGGAGTATCAAATACGCGATTGTAATTATCATTATGAGGGGTTCTATAATGATTCTTTTGTGCAAACTGCAAAAACGTTAACACTTCAGTACAACATAAATGATTAATTTAATGGAACCTATTTTTTCTTCATATCCATTATTTTGGGGGAGATTCGCCCTGAGAAGAACTTAGAAAGACTTTAAAGTTTTTTTAAATATTGTTGACAGTTTAAGATAAACTAGCCAGTTTATTTGTCCGAAGTTAGGGTTATACTTGACCAGATTGAGTAGTTAGCAAACACACAGACATACAGACTACAGTACAGAGACAGAGACAGAGAAGCTTGTTGAAGTGAGAGCAAACACATAACATGCACTGCAGCCAACTGTCAAACTTACACTCACCACTCTCCAGGTTCAACAACTTTACCACATCAATTGTGTGAGACATTAGGAAACCTCATCAACATCCAATTGACTCAGTTAATATGTAATGTAAATTTAAATATAGTTTGAATTTATAACACACTTTTGGATTCAAATTTAACTTTTAGTTATCTAGAAAGTTCACTTACATTATATTCAAGCAAATAGGTGCATCTATAACAATAGTCGTTGGATTAAGATGTTCTACAAGAAATAAGGCTTCTGTAAGACAAGGTAAATTTTATATTTTTCAGGTTTTCACCACTGAAAAACAGTGGCTTGCAATTAATCTACCATCTCGTTAATAATTGGTAATTGGATAATTGATCACATGGTTAATTGTGCTTTATATTGATAATTGTTGTTTTATAATTTAAGTTGTTGGCAATGATTACTAGCCTAATTAAACATTTTAATTAAAAGGTAAGCAATAAGAATACATAACCATAACCTTTTACTTTTATTTACTTGTTTTAGTTCCTTTTCCCATAACATTTGTTGATATACAGTAGTACATTTATTGCTAAAACAACATTTTAATGTACAATAATTAAAGACATGTGTGTGTAGCTTGTATAACAGAAACATATGTCATAGCAAAGAAGACTCAAAGTTATAGTGACACAAATGGCCCATCATAACCAGATTTCACAGATGTTAGAAATGTCAACTCTGTTTTAAAAATCAAGAAGGTTAATCGGACAATGCAGAAAGCACATGTGTCCTTTGGTTCTTCTAGCAAGTCAAATGTATAACACATAATAGTGTTTTATAAAAGTGGGATGTGTTCAGTGACGACTAGATATAGTCAAAACTTGAACTTAGTTATTTTTAACATAAACAAAAGAATGTTAGCATTGTTTGTGTAGGGAAAAGTGTCATAGTATGAATACCAAACATTATTATATTCTGTTGAAACATTTTTACAAAACTTTGTACTAAAGAAGTTTGCAATGTTATTACTTTTAATCAATATATTACAAAACTAACAGACTCTGTAAACAACCACAACAACAAAACAAAACCTAGACTAAACATAACAAAGGCTCATGGGATCTCTTAATTACTAGAACGCATTGAAAGCAGTTTAGAACCAAACAAAAGTCTCAATTATGATTGTATCCAGTGATAAGATTTGGAATTTATTTGCTTCCTGTTATACTCCAATATGATTGATTTAATCGCAAAGCTTTAGTTATTGATATTGACCACAAACGACATTCTAATCTGCAACTTTTCATGTATAATTACATATATTTTTTTCCAAATATAGGGTTAATATTATAAATGAGCGTAGTAGCGGAAAAAGTTATGTTGTAATACGACACTATGGCCACAGACAATATAATACTTTAATGGTTTACTCCATTGTCTGTGTCTGTGCTATGGCCGTAGAAGAATGGTTCTAAGTACGGCATGTACAAAGTTATTGACCATCCAAAATCTAAGTAATTTTTCGGGTTTTTACTTTTGGAAAATAAGGCAATACAACGTGTTCTATCCATTGATGTACTGTGCGTAGATCTTATATCGAGTAACAACAAAACAACTGAACTGTATAATACAATCAGGTACCTTGAAAACATTTGAAATGTTTAGTAAACCAGAGTTTTACTTCGAGCAATACAAAATATGATGACGATAGCACTAAAAAGCATTTAAGTACTCTTTAACGGAATATTTGAGAAATTTCCAGTGAAAAGTCACAACTTTGAGGTGAAAATCGTATTGTATGTCACAAATGCGCATCAGGAAAACTTTTATCATCTAATCCAAACAAAAAACAAAATCAATATACATTTTATAAACGAACTATTTGACCAACAACAACGGCAATTATTGCTATATAGTGTAAGACATTCATCCGAGTACTAAATCATTCAAACTACTAAAACATAACAAAAACGTGCAACCCAACGTCTGCAACGCAACGCCCACTAGAGCGTTTGTTGGTTTGTTTACATCTTGAAACAGACCACTGAGTTTGAGTTTTTTACATTCCGTCGTACATTTTTTGTTCCTTGTGGCTGCAACACTCAGGATCCGACCGAGACATATTGAGCTCGGATCTAACTTGCTAAATATTATATGTGTGTACATTGTTTGGATATAAATTAAATAAATCAAAAATTAGTAAGTGTTGGTTTGCTGCAATGGGTGCGTTGTTTACTACAGTATAGACAGAGACATCCCGAATGTAAATTAAGATCGACCCCAAATATCTCTCAGTTTCATAATTTTTCTTAATGTAGTGGTTTATCCTACTCGTACAATTGCAAAACAATTGTTTAAAACTGCCAAACATCAAATCACCCCTCCCACAGCACATTTTCACCGGTGTCGTCGCAAAAATGTACAAACAGTGCTTTTAAAAGGCCTACCTTAAAAGCAGATGTTCGTGTCTGCACATGGTGACCGAGCGGCGAGCAACCCACAGAACAACCGGACCGGCACCTACCACGGTCTGAGCATCCCGACACCAACACACAACACTGGTGACTGACTGGTGGACGTCCTACATGTGAATCATCACTCACACACACACACACACACACGCACGGCTACCGCAGCGACAAAACAGCTGCCGCTCGTGAAGGGCGACTTGTAGGTCTCGACACAGCTGTTTAGACTAACGCCCTTCTCATTGCCTATTGTAACCCGACAAGGGAGAAGCAGCTCGGCACCCCGGAAGGAACTGACGATTGACGCTGAGCCTAATTTTACCGGCGCTTCGACTCGAACCAGAATTTCCAATCCTGCGATTTATTACGTACCGAGTCGATTTTCGTCGATGCAAGGGTCTCATCATTCGTAAACTGTGGCCCCTAAAACCCAAGTTTTGTGCTATACAAACTAAACCAGCAGCGTCCCGTTCAAATGAAGAAATAAATTCACCACTCAAAATAGTTATGCGATACAACGTAGCTTACATACTCAAATTCATTGTACCCTCCATCAAAATATTAGATTGAATTTGGTTACTCGTACTCAATTTGGTAAACTACCCTTATAGTTTGAAACGTTACACCAATCGCACTGCCGTTTATGTAGATAATGTATTAAATTTACAGT